CACGCTCACACACTGAAACGCACGATCACACACTGACAAACATGCTTCCACACATGCTCACACACACACTTACACGCATGCTCACACACTCACACGTATGCTCACACACTGAAACACACGCTCACACACATGCTCACACTCACACACATGCTCACACTCACACACATGCTCACACACTCACACACACGCTCACACACTCACACGCACGCTCACACACTGAAACACACGCTCACACACCAAAACACACGCTCACACACATGCTCACACACACGCACGCTCACACACTGACACGCACGCTCACACACTGAAACGCACGCTCACACACTGAAACGCACGAACACACACTGAAACGCACGATCACACACTGACAAACATGCTTCCACACATGCTCACACACACACTTACACGCACGCTCACACACTGACACGCACGCTCACACACTGACACGCACGCTTACACACTGACACGCACGCTCACACACTGAAACGCACGATCACACACTGACAAACATGCTTCCACACATGCTCACACACACACTTACACGCATGCTCACACACTCACACGTATGCTCACACACTGAAACACACGCTCACACACATGCTCACACTCACACACATGCTCACACTCACACGCATGCTCACACACTCACACGCACGCTCACACACTGAAACACACGCTCACACACCAAAACACACGCTCACACACATGCTCACACACACGCACGCTCACATGCTGACACGCACGCTCACACACTGAAACACACGCTCAAATACTGAAACACACGCTCACACACTGAAACACACGCACACGCACTGAAACACATGCTCACACACTGATACACACACTCACACACTGAAATACACGCTCACACACATGCTCACACACCCACTCACACGCACGCTCACACACTGAAACACACGCTCACGCACTGACACGCACGCTCACACACTGAAACGCACGCTCACACACTCACACGTACGCACACACACACAAGATGTCTGCTACAGCTGCTGTTTGGTCGTTAGGGTAGGTGATGTGGTCAATGATTGGTAGGTGATGTGGTTAGTGATTGGTAGGTGATGTGGTTAGTAATTGGTAGGTGATGTGGTCAGTGATTGATAGGTGATGTGGTCAGTGATTGGTAGGTGATGTGGTCAGTGATTGGTAGGTGATGTGGTCAGTGATTGGTAGGTGATGTGGTCAGTAATTGGTAGGTGATGTGGTCAGTGATTGGTAGGTGATGTGGTCAGTGATTGGTAGGTGATGTGGTCAGTGATTGGTAGGTGATGTGGTCAGTGATTGGTAGGTGATGTGGTCAGTGATTGGTAGGTGATGTGGTCAGTGATTGGTAGGTGATGTGGTCAGTGATTGGTAGGTGATGTGGTCAGTGATTGGTAGGTGATGTGGTCAGTGATTGGTAGGTGATGTGGTCAGTGATTGGTAGGTGATGTGGTCAGTGATTGGTAGGTGATGTGGTCAGTGATTGGTAGGTGATGTGGTCAGTGATTGGTAGGTGATGTGGTCAGTGATTGGTAGGTGATGTGGTCAGTGATTGGTAGGTGATGTGGTCAGTGACTGGTAGGTGATGTGGTCAATGATTGGTAGGTGATGTGGTCAGTGATTGGTAGGTGATGTGGTCAGTGATTGGTAGGTGATGTGGTTAGTGATTGGTAGGTGATGTGGTTAATGATTGGTAGGTGATGTGGTTAGTGATTGGTAGGTGATGTGGTCAGTGATTGGTAGGTGATGTGGTCAGTGATTGGTAGGTGATGTGGTCAGTGATTGGTAGGTGATGTGGTTAGGGATTGGTAGGTGATGTGGTTAGTGATTGGTAGGTGATGTGGTTAGTGATTGGTAGGTGATGTGGTTAATGATTGGTAGGTGATGTGGTCAGTGATTGGTAGGTGATGTGGTTAGTGATTGGTAGGTGATGTGGTCAGTGATTGGTAGGTGATCTGGTCAGTGATTGGTAGGTGATGTGGTCAGTGATTGGTAGGTGATGTGGTCAGTGATTGGTAGGTGATGTGGTCAGTGATTGGTAGGTGATGTGGTCAGTGATTGGTAGGTGATGTGGTCAGTGATTGGTAGGTGATGTGGTCAGTGATTGATAGGTGATGTGGTCAGTGATTGGTAGGTGATGTGGTCAGTGATTGGTAGGTGATGTGGTCAGTGATTGGTAGGTGATGTGGTCAATGATTGGTAGGTGATGTGGTCAGTGATTGGTAGGTGATGTGGTCAGTGATTGGTAGGTGATGTGGTTAGTGATTGGTAGGTGATGTGGTCAGTGATTGGTAGGTGATGTGGTCAGTGATTGGTAGGTAATGTGGTTAGTGATTGGTAGGTGATGTGGTCAGTGATTGGTAGGTGATGTGGTCAGTGATTGGTAGGTGATGTGGTTAGTGATTGGTAGGTGATGTGGTTAGTGATTGAGGTTAAAGATGGGACAGCAGCTAGGAACAAGCGCTTTGAGTAAGAGACTGGGATGTAGTGTCAGGGTGTGTGTGTGTTTCTAGGTATATAATTGTGTGTAGGTATCTTGGTGTGTGTGTGTGTATCTAGGTGTGTGTATGTGTATCGAGGCGTGTGCGTGTATCTAGGCGTGTGCGTTTCGTGACGGGTACTGCAAGATCCGACCGTGTCCGTCCAGTGCTCAATGAGCGGCATTGGCTTCCGCTTGCTGAACGAATACGTGATAAGGTCGCACACATTACACACAAAGTGCCTGCCACAAATGAACCACAATATCTGGCTGATCTCAAGGAGCATAAACCATCACCACGCGAACTCCGCTCATGCTCGCAGCAGCGGCTTTTGGCTCAGCCATCGAACAAAGACGGTGGTCACCGCATCGCGTGCGTTCAGACAAATTAATTTCTTCAGAACTGAATTTTGTATTTAGTTTAGTCCTTCCCCCACACCACCGATTAGCACAGTTGGCAACGTAGGGTGCGAAAGAAGTTCAGCATACGTACGTGGGAAGTAGTGGTGCAGTGGTTAACGCACTTCCCTCCGAACCGGGCAACCTGAGTTAGATTCCGGCTCACGGCCAACACCAGTGAGGATTATCTGAACCAATCCTGGGTCTGAATTGATTACCTGGTGCGATGTGTACGCATCATTGCAACTAGGAATACAAAGGTGGCCAGGAGTGGTGCTGACTATCACCCCCCCCCCCCCGTGCCAGCCTTCATAGGTGCTCGCGGACAGCACTTGCCCCAACAATATGGTAAGGTTATACGGTCTGCAGGTTTGCTGAGCATTTCTGTGAGGGCTTGTGTATGTGTGTGTCTTGGCGTATGTGAGCAGGTATTTGTGGCATGTAGGTCACTGTGAAGGCGATGTCTTCCAGCCTGTATTTTGTACACACGCACGCCAAATACTGGTATGTGATGTGGATATGTGGATATGATGTGTGGATGTGGTACGTGATGTGGATATGATGTGGATATGATGTGTGGATATGGTATGTGATGTGGATATCATGTGTATGTGTGGTATGTGATGTGGATATGATGTGTGTGTGTGGTATGTGATGTGGATATGATGTGTGTGTGTGGTATGTGATGTGGATATGATGTGTGTGTGTGGTATGTGATGTGGATATGATGTGTTTGTGTGGTATGTGATGTGGATATGATGTGTGTGTGTGGTATGTGATGTGGATATGATGTGTGTGTGTGTGTGGTATGTGATGTGGATATGATGTGTGTGTGTGGTATGTGATGTGGATATTATGTGTGTGTGGTATGTGATGTGGATATGATGTGTGTGTGTGTGGTATGTGATGTGGATATGATGTGTGTGTGTGGTATGTGATGTGTGTGTGTGTGGTATGTGATGTGTATGTGTGTGCCGTGCAGAGCTGTGGCGCTTCGGTTAGCGAGCTGCGCTACGAACCCGGCGAACACCAGCGACGATCATCTGAACTGTCCGCTGGCCCTCTAATGAGTACCTGCTGCGATGTGTAAAGATTGTCAACTGGGGAGACAAAGGCGGTCGGGCGTGGCAGTGGCTACCCACCCCTAGTGTGCCGTGCTTCTCGCTAACAGAACTAGCCCCAATCGTCTGTTGAGGCTATACGGGGGATCCTTGTTTTTGGTGCTGTGTGTATTCTCACATTGGGCATGCGTGTTCACCCTCGCGACCACCACTACCACCACGAGAAACCACCAACAGCACCACCACCACCACACGCTGAGCGGGAATGTGGAGTGGGACACCCAGTAACAGCAGCAGTCAGGCGAATGGTGATCCAGCACTCGCAACACTGAAGGCCAGTCACTCACACACACATACACCCACACACAGTGTGAAGGCCAGTCACTCACACCCACACACACCCACACACACAGTGAAGGACCGTAACACTCACACATACACCCACACACACGGTGAAGAACCGTAACACAGTGTACCACACACACAGTGTGAAGGCCAGGCACTTACACAGACATACACCCACACACACACACCCACACACTCACACATACACCCACACACACGGTGAAGAACCGTAACACAGTTTACCACACACACAATGTGAAGGCCAGTCACTCGTACATATACACATACACCCCCACACACGGTGAAGAACCGTAACACTCACACATACACCTACACACACGGTGAAGAACCGTAACACAGTGTACCACACGCACAGTGTGAAGGCCAGGCACTCACACAGACATACACCCACACACACAGTATGAAGGCCAGTCACTCATACATATACACATACACCCACACACACGGTGAAGTACCGTAACACTCACACATACACCTACACACACGGTGAAGAACCGTAACACAGTGTACCATACACACAGTGTAAAGGCCAGGCACACACAGACATACACCCACACACACAGACATACACCCACACACACAGACATACACCCACACACACAGTGTACCACACACACAATGTGAAGGCCAGTCACTCATACACACATACAAGCATACATACATCCACACCCACAGACGGGACCTTCGCCGCTCACCTGGCTGTACGTGGACCTTCTGACTGCCTCCGATGCGCTTTGCCTCATCTCGGCCGCCGTCCCCGGCTTGCTCAGAGACTTCGTGAACCTCCTGGCCTCGGCCATAGTAACGGCGAAGCATCACCCGGGCCCGGGGTGACGCTGTTTACAGCCGCGAGGGCCTGGAGGAGACACTGGCGGTGATGAAGGCCCGGGAAGGTGTGCAGCATCGCAGGGGCGAAGGCCCAGAAAGATGCCGGGAAGATCCGGATCCCGGTGAAGAAGGCCCAGCCAGACACGCCGCTGTTGCTGGCGGCGTGTGGTGGTGGTGATGGGGGTTGATGGTGGTGATGGTATGGGTGGTTGATGGTGGTGGTGAGGAAGGTAAGGGTGGTGAGGGTAGTGGTGAGGAAGGTGAGGGTGGTGATGAGGGTGGCGATGGCAGCGCCCTGGTAAGGCCCGGGGTCCCCCCCCCCTCTCTCTCGCCCTACGAACGGCGCTGAATTTGCATCTCCAGCGACTCCGCCGCCATCAGTGGGGGATGGAGGGGAGGGGGAGGGATGCGCCGCTTCCGGTGGAGCCGCCTGAGCCCCGGACATCTCCCAGCGACGGCACCACCAGATGGCCCTGCAATGTGCCGTGCCTGAACTACCTGGGGACATGCTGGTCACCTGGTGACCTGTGCACAACCTGGTCATCTGGTGACCCATGCACATACTGGTGACCCGTGCACAACCTGGTGACCCGTGGACGACCTGGTGACCTGGTGACCCGTGCACAACCTGGTGACCTGGTGACCCGTGCACAACCTGGTGACCTGGTGACCCGTGCACAACCTGGTGACCCGTGCACAACCTGGTGACCTGATGACCCGTGCACATACTGGTGACCTGGTGACCCGTGCACATACTGGTGACCTGGTGACCCGTGCACAACCTGGTGACCTGGTGACCCGTGCACATACTGGTGACCTGGTGACCCGTGCACATACTGGTGACCTGGTGACCCGTGCACATACTGGTGACCCGTGCACATACTGGTGACCTGGTGACCCGTGCACATACTGGTGACCTGGTGACCCGTGCACATACTGGTGACCTGGTGACCCGTGCACATACTGGTGACCTGGTGACCCGTGCACATACTGGTGACCTGGTGACCCGTGCACATACTGGTGACCCGTGCACATACTGGTGACCCGTGCACATACTGGTGACCTGGTGACCCGTGTACATACTGGTGACCTGGTGACCCGTGCACATACTGGTGACCTGGTGACCCGTGCACATACTGGTGACCTGGTGACCCGTGCACATGCCTGGTGACCCGTGCACATACTGGTGACCTGGTGACCCGTGCACATACTGGTGACCCGTGCATATACTGGTGACCCGTGTACATACTGGTGACCTGGTGACCCGTGCACATACTGGTGACCCGTGCACATACTGGTGACCTGGACGTGTCATTACCCAATGACCTGATGACATCGTGACCTGGGGGCACGTATAGATCTGTCGATTGTACCGATGCCAACAAGAGATCCATAGAGACCCACATCATCATAGAAATGAGTAGTAGTAAAACTGGGCTCATCAAGAGCAAGCGAGTTAATGGTGCCAGCCTGGTAACCCAATGCTGTCCGCTGGAGATGCACGCCTGGCCACCGATGGCCGTCACGTGCGTTCAACCGGCTCAGCACCTGGCGACTGTTGCAGCCTGCCCCAGGGCAACAATGCAACGAATGCCATCTCAGCAGCAGCTTACGTTCGCCAAAGTGAAAAAGCGTCGCAAACACCGCGCGGTATTGACCTGGGGCTGGCTGCAACGTTTCCGTGTTTGACCCGGACTGTCCGGAATTTGGCATTATTTTTGTTCGGTAAACGGGGAGTGATTTTTAGCGCCGTTTCATCATCTGGAGATGATGAGATGAAAATGAGATCTGGAAATTATGAGGCGAAGATGAGATCTAGAAATGATGAAATGGAGATGAGATCTGGAGATGATAAGATGTAGATGAAATCTGGAAATTATGAGATCTGGAGATGAGATCTGGTGCTATGATTGTCATGGAAACTGCACAGTTACAATAAGAGAACCAGAATATATATATACTGGAGGAATCCTATGAGCTATAAAGCTGTTTTTCATAAATGTCCAATAGGGGCGGGTAAAAACGTTACAATAACAAATATAAAAACACGATAGTAGTGCAAAGTACAAGGAAGGTAAACAAAAATCACCCAAAAACATACAAATACAACTAAACCAACCACATCGTACTAGGCAAAGCCCACGGAGGTATGAACTTCTTTTTCAGGAGCGACCTGGCCACAAACAATAGCTCAGCAAAGTAGCTTATCATGTGGACATTCATAGCAGCAAAATAATCGAAAACAGGTCCCTGCAGGGTGGGCTGGTAGGAACATTGGCAAAGTAACGTCACGGTGCCTTCGAACTTCGCCTCGCAAATGGTATTCGGCTGTGGGCTGTGTGTGAATTTGCCACATCCCCAAAAGCGAAGTTCGCAAATGAGATAATGTGACTTCCAAATGTTGGGTGCAATAAGACATATCAAGTCTCTGCGCTGTCTATTGCTGATTTTACACCCAACAGCACGAGATTTCACTTCGTTAAAGTATTGAAAGGGGACGGACGGACGGACACATTAATCTATTGCAGGCTGGTACACTCAGTTTACAACTTCGTTCCTACCAGTATAATATATTCTAAATGTGGAGGGAAAACCCGGAGGACCCGGAGAAAAATCCACATAACCACGGGGAGAGACACGCAAACTCCAAATATGCAGCAAGCATTAACATGCGTTTAGAGCATTTGGCTGCTATAAAGTTACACATAACTCACTCCTTTGAGCTATCACTTTTGGCCAGGTCGCTTCTGAAAGAGAACCATACAGCTCATTGGGCCTTGCCTTGTAAAAGAAAAAAAGTTTTTATCGTGTTTAATCGTTAACAATGTGGAATTTCCACCACTGGCTCGGGGCAGTAAACGGGAGATGGGCTTCTCAGTGCTCATTTGAGCAGGAAATCGCTCTGGATTTTATAACCAAAAGGTTGGCTCAATTCCATCTCGGAGAATCGACAAAATATCGGCCAGGAGGATCGGCCGTTGTGGGGGGGAACATGGATGGCGCTCCTCCTGCACTTGACGGCCCGCGCCCCCCACCGTCGGTGCCGCCACTTTTCCTCCAGAGTGACGTCCACTTCCAGAAGGGGCCTCTTGCTGCTGCTGCTGCTGGTGGCACCCAGCAGCCTCAGCCTGGGTGGCGGTGAGCAATCGAGGTCTGAGAGGTCACCGCAAGGGATATTGGAAGAAGTTCCGCTACATCTGCATCTGCAAGACCGTTCTCCGTCACAGGGCGCTGCTCTCTGTGAATGACCACCATGTCCCGGGATGCAGGCGACGCTGATTTTAGATCGGAGGTGTCCACACGAGCGGCAGAAGAGAGCAGCTGGAATTAAATTGCGGAAACGACAGAACCGGGTTTTATACGAAGGGATGCACTTCACGGGACCCAAGCAGAGCGCGTTTATTAAAACCTCGCGTGCGCAACCATGACAGCAAACGAGGGTGGCGCAGGCCAACAACCATGCCAGCAAACGAGGGTGGCGCAGGCCAACTGACGAGCGAGCAATGGTCCCAAGCGGGGCCCTAACGAGGCCGCACCGGGCTCCTGCGCGGACAACAAGCGGCGACGACGGGGACCGGGCGAGAGGGAAACTAACGAGAAGACAATTGACGACGATGACGGGGAGGGGGAGGAGGGGGTGGTGGGGGAGGAGGGAGGACGAGGACGGCGAGGGGGAGGAGGAGCAAGATCCCAGACAACAAGCAGGGAAAAGAGCGGTGAGCAACAGGGAGAGCGCTCCGTTTAAGGTCAGGGGTTCTTCAGCCTTCATGGTCATGGTTGGGGTTAGTTCAAGTGGTAGAATGTGTGTTAGGGGTTGGATCAGCGTTAAGAGTTACGGCGCATGTTAGGGTTAGAGCCAGGGTCAGGGTCCAGGCCAGTCTCAGACGAGCAGCGACGAATCTCAAATGAGACAAAACAAAACGGGTCAACTAAACGTGGGGCACGCGGTACGACCATCCGCCACGCCGGGCGGCAGTAGCTACGAGACGTGGCTTGCTAACCCGCTATTCAGACCGCATGCTCGCTCTCAACCCAGCTCCCTCTCGCTTGCTCACAAGCCCTCTGCTCTCGCCATGGCAACCCACTGTACCCCTCCTCGCCATCACCTCACCTCACCACCGCCACCTCATCCTCACCACCACCTTAATCTTACCACTACTTCCTCACCATCTCCACTACCCCATAATTATTGTCATCCCCACCACCACCTCATCATCTTTACCTCTCCACCAACTCTTATCTCATCACCGCTTCCTCCGAACCACCACCACCACTTAATCAAACTAAACTTTTTTTTATTTTAGCAGGTAAGGCCCACTGAACTATTTATCTTTTTCAGAAGCGATCTATCCACACACGATAGCTCAACGAAGTGGCGTATCATGTGGAAATGTTAAGCAACCAAATACTCTGAACCTATTTTTATTCTAAATGTGGAGGCGTCAAAGGTCGGGATCGAAACAACAATCTCCTGTATACCAGGCGAGGTAATTAACATCTCAAAGCCACCGCACCACCACCTCGCCCCATATCCAGCCCCTCTATTGCCCTAGGGGTCAAATTCATAGCCGGGGTCATCATTAGGCTTGGGGTCACAGTGGGCTTGTCGGGTCACAGTGGGGACGTGTGGAGTCACAGTGGGGTTGTGTGGGGTCACAGTGAGGTCGATTGGGGTCACAGTGAGGTCGATTGGGGTCACAGTGGGGTCATCACAGTGAGGTCATGTGGGGTCAAAGTGGGGTCGTGTGGGGTCACAGTGGGGTCGTGTGGGGTCACAGTCGGATTGTGTAGGGTCACAGTAGGCCTGTGTGGGGTCACAGTGGAGTCATAGTGGGGTCGTGAGGAGTCAGTGGGGTCGTGTGAGGTCACGGTGGGGTCGTGTGGGGTCACAGTGAGGTCGTGTGGGGTCACAGTGGGGTCGTGTGGGGTCGCAGTGGAGGCTGACCCCGCTGGGACCGAGCCTCGGCCAGCTGCCCGCGCAGACGTCGTAACACCGCATCACAACGCTTGTGCTCCACCTGCACACAGCCATACACACAAAGACAAGGATCCCCCATAGAGCCTTAACAGACTGCTGGGGCAAGTGCTTTTCGCAAGCACCTATGTCTGTATGTATGTTGAACTTCTTTCACACTGTACATAACCATCCGTACTAACCTATGAAGGCTGGCATGGCACACTAGGGAGTGGGCGGCCAGCACCATGCCCGGTCACCTTTGTCTCCCTTGTGGCAATGTTTACACGCTGCACCAGGTACTTATTTGATGCCGAGTCGACCTTGGGGAGGTCCGGACCGTTTCAGATATTGGTCACCAGTATTCATCATGAGCGGGAATCAAACTCGGGTTGCCGGGTTCGTAGTGCAGCTCGCTAACCGTTACACCACAGCTCCTCACCCACCCGCTCAATCATCTACCTCACCCACCCACTCATACAGTCATTCAGCTAATCTAATTCGGGTTTCTGGGTTTGTAGCGCAGTGCGCTAACCGCTGCGCCACCACTCCCCACAACACACTACAGTCGCACATAAAACCACACGGGAACACAACCGCTCAACCACACACGGGCACACATAACCACAACCACACACAACCACATCAGTTTCATTTATTAGGCATAGCCCTGTGAGCCATGCGGCTCTTGACTCGGAGACATGCGGTCAGGGGAGGCAGAGCCTCACCTGTCATACTCCAATGAAAATAGCTGTTACGAAAAGTAAATAATAAAATAATTATTAAGTTTTTTTCCCACTGATCCTTGTTATAAATGTCATTTCTATATGATTCCAATATTTTTTTCTAGTCAAAATTTGCGGAGCTTCGCTGCAAATACAGAGAGAGACGAGAGGTGAAGCAGCGACGCACTCAGCCTCCCCTCTGATTGCGAAACCCCTCAGAAACTGGATGGAACACGGGCAATAAGCGCGTGCCTGTTACTATCTCTCTGTATGTCACCAGTGTAATGTTTGTAGACCCCTTCATTACATGTCCTCGCCTTCCATATTCCAGGTAACTTATTTCACGTATGTGTATAAAGATATTTCGGCTCGCTGGTCTCTTCATAAAACTGCAATGAAAAAGCACTTGGGGAGGCAGCTATCACATCTGCCTCACTAAGGGGGGCGTGTCAGACACGCCTCCCTCAGTGAAGACACCCCCCCCTCAGTGTGGACACGCCCCCCTCAGTGAGGCAGCTATCACATCTGCCTCACTGAGGGGGGCGTGTCTTGAGCCCACGTAATTGACGCTCGCTCTCCCTCCACGTTAACCAGCTCTAGCAAAAAAAATTTGCAGCGGCTGCAAAAATGGAAAACGTTATATCTAATCTTAACAAAAAATTCTAAATTGGACTTTCCATCAAAACAGGGAGTGAATGCCTGAGCTTAAGGACCTACTTCAAACGAAGGGACAGAAAATAACACGGTCGTTTCAAATGGAGTGGTACCAACGAAAAGACTGGCTGTGTGGCTGTGCTACGAAGAATCGCCTTTACTGCTTTCCCTGCCTTCTGTTCCCCACTACCGACAACGTTTGGACTAACGTGGGATTTTGTGACTTGAAAAATCTACCAAGGAGCCTCAACAAACATGAAAAATCGACAACTCACATTCAAAGCCAAATTGCTTTAAAACTTTTGGAGCTTCAAGGATAGATCTGGCTTTGAATGAACAGCGGAGATTAAATATCAGCATCCACAATGCTAAGGTAAAGGAAAACCGTGAGGCTTTAAAACACCTTATTAATGCGACCTGCTTCCTAGCCAAACAGGACTTAGCATTTCGTGGTAACGATGAGAGTGCAAGCTCTTCTAATCTGGCAACTATGTGGAGCTATTACATGCTTTTGCTGAGAAAGATGAAAAGTTAGCGAGACATTTGGAGACATCCAGTGTTTTCTGGCTAATCAAACAGAATACAGAACGATTTAATCGAAGCAGTCGGTGATGTAATTAGAAATGATATCAAAGAGGAGATTAATGCAGCCCCATTTGTTGCAGTCGAAGTAGATGAGACAACGGATGTCACAAACAAAGCCCAGGTCTCTGTAGTTTTGCGTTATGTGGCTACAAGTGACTTGTGAGGTGAGAGAGGCGTTCTTTGGATTTGATTATGTCAGTGATGACAGACAAGCACTGGCTATTGCTGATTATGTTTTGGGAGTGTTGGGGAAATACAATTGCGTTGAAAAGTTGGTAGCTCAGACTTATGACAAAGCCTCTGTGATGGCATCAGATCTTAATGGAGTGCAGGCCAAGATTAAAGAAAAGGTACCTGAAGCCACGTTTACCCATTGTTATGCACACAAATTGAACCTGGTGCTCTCGCATTCAGCAAAATGTATGCCTGAGTGTAAAACGTCTTTTAAAACAGTTGAGGGACTTGCGACGCTTTTCAATAAGTCGACCAAGCGCACCCACCTACTGGACGATGTTGTGAAGCGACATTTACCAAGAGTAGCGCCCACGACTAGTTCGGACGATCAGCATGTACCAATCTGATCTGCATATTGTGTTCCGGATTATGAGCGAAAATCCCGATGGTTGTGACAATGACACCCTGATGATGGCCGCCGGATATGATCTCTGGCTGTCAAAAGCCTCAACCTGCTTCTTGATAATGGCATCAGGGCATTTTCAATGACACCGAAGCACTCTTTCGTGTGCTGCTGAATAAAGTAATGGACATTGGATTCTGCTGTGAGTGAATTCGCAACACAATGGGAGTTATGGAACGCCAGAGACAAGAGTTTGACAGTTTCTATGATCGATTCGAGCAGAAATGCGTCACACTTGGCCTGACAGACAATTCCCGAAGTAAACAGCTGATCAGAGATGAGAGGAAAATAATGTTTTATGACATTCTGGACAATATCAGTGTTCAAATGAAAGCTAGGTTTGATCATTTTGGTGAGCTAACTTTCCTTGGTTTGGTGGATTCCACGAAATTTTATGAAATGTCACATTATTTCGATGACACCAAACTGCAGAGCCTATCAAAATATGCAAGGTACTTTGACTTTGTTAGACTAAAGGCTGACCTTATCGGATTGTATAGTTCACAAATGGTGAGGAACAAATGCAAATCACCCAGACAGCTCCTCAGCTTTTTGGCGCAGAATGATCTGATGCAGACGGTTCCCGAGGCGACAAAGTTACTCCAGCTGGTGCAACACTATACCAGCTACAACAGCATCCATTGAAAGGTCGTTCTCTGCTTTGAAACGACTCAAAACATAGTCGGAATCGGACTTACCAAGGACGAGTTTCATCCCTGGCGATCATCTCTATTGAGACGGATATATCTTCTTTGGTTCTTTCGGTAAAGTCATGTAGAATGAGAATAAAATAATAAATTGATAAAATAAAATAACACAATAATATTCTCACGACGTTTCGGCCACAACACAAGCGGCCTTCATCAGATGAAGGGACGAGACTGTCTGGTAGGACAGCGAGAATATTATTGTGTTATTTTATTTTATCAATTTATTATTTTATTCTCATTCTACGTGACTTTACTGAAAGAACCAAAGAAGATGAATCATTGCAGTCACGAAAGCTTTAAATCGAAAAGAGACGGATATACTTGTAAAACTAAAAGAGAATAAAGAAGACTTCTACAACAAAGTCACTGACATATTTGTCCAGAAGGATACGCGAATGGACTTCATTTACAAGTAAAGGTAATACCATGCAATATATATTTTCATTTGTGTTGAATGAATATGAATACTGGAACTGCATTCGCCTATAAAATGTGAATCGAATATGTAACTTACCTGTATGCGTGTGTTGTAAAGAATGCTGATATTAAATATGAAACATACGGCCGCCTAACTAATAGTCATTGTGCAACCTGCCAATTGAATTGTGAATTTAAGCTACCTCTATCGGGTTCATGAGTGTAAATCTGGCTCTAGCCAGTGCCTTCCCAACCATTGACCTCACCGCACATCACTGTCTTAAAGTGACTACGCGCAACAGAAAAATCCAGGAAAAAACAGCAAAGTCTTCAAGAAAAAAACAACAAATATCAATGCTATGTGCAAAAATACCACTGGGATGCACGTCAAACAATAACAACCATAAGACAATTTAGTCTTGATTTGAAGCTTTCGTGACTGCAGGAATCCATACTCTTTGGTTCTTTCGGTAAAGTCACGTACATATAAAATAAAATAAATCACGACGTTTCGGGCGCAACACAAGCGTCCATCATCAGGTGGGAAAGCATGGTCTGCTGCTGAGGCAGACTTTTAAAAGGTTTGAAATAGGTGGAGCTCAAGGGTCATAAAGAAGTGGCTGGGGCTAGTGATGTTAATGTGAGAAATTAGCATGTAACTGTAAGATAGGAGAGCGGCCTCCTAGACGAGGGCACGGAAATGGCTATGTTAATGTGAGGGATCAGCATGATGTTAATGTGAGAAATTAGAGGTTACATTAACATAGCCACTTCCGTGCCCTCTAATCTCTCACATTAACATCATGGTAATCCCTCACATTAACATACTGTAGCCACTTCCGTGCCCTCGTTTAGGAGGCCGCTCTCCTAGCTTACGTTTACATGCTAATTTCTCACATTAACATCATGCTAATCCCTCACATGAACATAGCCAAGTCCGTGCCCTCGTCGACGAGACCACTCTCCTATCTTACAGTTACATGCTACAGTGAGGGAAAAAAATATTTGATCCCCTGCTGATTTTGTACGTTTGCCCACTGACAAAGAAATGATCAGTCTATAATTGTAATGGTAGGTTTATTTGAACAGTGAGAGATAGAATAACAAAATCCAGAAAAACGCATGTCAAAAATGTTATAAATTGATTTGCATTTTAATGAGGGAAATAAGTATTTGACCCCTCTGCAAAACATGACTTAGTACTTGGTGGCAAGACTAAAGTTGTTGGCAATCACAGAGGTCAGACGTTTCTTGTAGTTGGCCACCAGGTTTGCACACATCTCAGGAGGGATTTTGTCCCACTCCTCTTTGCAGATCTTCTCCAAGTCATTAAGGTTTCGAGGCTGACGTTTGGCAACTCGAACCGTCAGCTCCCTCCACAGATTTTCTATGGGATTAAGGTCTGGAGACTGGCTAGGCCACTCCAGGACCTTAATGTGCTTCTTCTTGAGCCATTCCTTTGTTGCCTTGGCCGTGTGTTTTGGGTCATTGTCATGCTGGAATACCCATCCACGACCCATTTTCCATGCCCTGGCTGAGGGAAGGAGGTTCTCACCCAAGATTTGACGGTACATGGCCCCGTCCATCGTCCCTTTGATGCGGTGAAGTTGTCCTGTCCCCTTAGCAGAAAAACACCGCCAAAGCATAATGTTTCCACCCCCATGTTTGATGGTGGGGATGGTGTTCTTGGGGTCATAGGCAGCATTCCTCCTCCTCCAAACACGGCGAGTTGAGTTGATGCCAAAGAGCTCCATTTTGGTCTCATCTGACCACAACACTTTCACCCAGTTGTCCTCTGAATCATTCAGATGTTCATTGGCAAACTTTAGACGGGCATGTATATGTGCTTTCTTGAGCAGAGGAACCTTGCGGGCGCTGCAGGATTTCAGTCCTTCACGGTGTAGTGTGTTACCAATTGTTTCTTGGTGACTATGGTCCCAGCTGCCTTGAGATCATTGACAAGATCCTCCCGTGTAGTTCTGGGCTGATTCCTCACCGTTCTCATGATCATTGCAACTCCACGAGGTGAGATCTTGCATGGAGCCCCAGGCCGAGGGAGATTGACAGTTATTTTGTGTTTCTTCCATTTGCAAATAATCGCACCAACTGTTGTCACCTTCTCAACAAGCTGCTTGGCAATGGTCTTGTAGCCCATTCCAGCCTTGTGTAGGTCTACAATCTTGTCCCTGACATCCTTGGAGAGCTCTTTGGTCTTGGCCATGGTGGAGAGTTTGGAATCTCATTGATTGATTGCTTCTGTGGACAGGTGTATTTTATACAGATAACAAGCTGAGGTTAGGAGCACTCCCTTTAAGAGTGTGCTCCTAATCTCAGCTCGTTACCTGTATAAAAGACACCTAGGAGCCAGAAATCTTTCTGATTGAGAGAGGGTCAAATACTTATTTCCCTCATTAAAATGCAAATAAATTTATAACATTTTTAACATGTGTTTTTCTGGATTTTTGTTGTTGTTATTCTGTCTCTCACTGTTCAAATAAACCTACCATTAAAATTATAGACTGATCATTTCTTTGTCAGTGGGCAAACGTACAAAATCAGCAGGGATCAAATACTTTTTGCCCTCACTGTAATTTCTCACATGAACATCACTAGCCCCAGCTACTTCTTTATGACCTTTGAGCTACACCCATTTCAAACCTTTTAAGACAGTCTGCCTCAGCAGCAGACCATGCTTTCCCACCTGATGATGGACGCTTGTGTTGCGCCCGAAACGTCGTGATTTATTTTATTTTATACCTACGTGATAAGACAATTTAGATTAAAGTTATCACAACCACACATAGCTACACACCGGGGGGACACGGCACACAGGGTGGTTGCTGCAGGCATCAAATAAAATCAGTCCTATAGACGGCATCAAGGTGGCTACCGAGACAGTGGTGCCTTTCGGCTGCTCTATCATCATTAGCAGGCCCAGGCTTGGGCTCTTATGAGAGATCCGGGGCTTGAACCCAGGATCTCTGACACGGTCATTATGAACCCACTGAGATTGATCCAGGGCTTGAACCTAGGATTGGTGTCTCCGACTCATTATTTCCGCTTGCTGAGCGAATACATTATAAGGTTGCACTCATTACACACAAAGTTCTTTCCACAAACTAACCACAATACCTTGCCAATCTCGTCAAGGAACATAAACAGTCACGCAAACTCTAGTCATCCTCACAGAAGTGGCTTTTGGTTGGTCATCAAACAAAGATGGTCACTGCATCGCACACTTTCAGATGCGTTTCTGCAACCGTCTGGAACACTCTTCGTCCCGATATTAGGAAGCCACTGGAACTATGCACTTTAAATATAGATTTTCAACTAGTTTATTTAAAACTGCTGTTTGTTTTTTGTTTGTTGTCCTTGCCCCAGACCTCCAATCAGCACGGTTTGCTATACGGTGCGAAAGAAGTTCAACGTATAAACATTATGAACCTTGGAACCCCCCTCCATCCCACACAACCCCCAACACAACCCCCAGCACAACCCCACACACACCTCCAGCCCCCTTCGGGCGTGCGTTAGCGCCTGCTTCTGCTCCTCAAGCTCCGTGGACTTTGCTGCCTCCTCCTGCTTCAGATGCAGCAGCTCCAAGCGCAGCGCCTCCATCTCCGCCTGCGGTGTCCCGCAGACACGCTCAGCACCCCGCAGGCGCTCCCCCGCTGGTTAGCCGGTCGGGCATTAAGAATCGGTCAGCGAATTGGCAGGCAGAAAGTTAGTCACTTAGTGGATGTGCTGGTTAGTCACTAGGATGGTCAGTCAGTGAATCAGTCGGTCTGGCAGTCAGGTAGTCGGCTCTTTAGTAAACGAGGTGGTTCACTGTCAAGGTGGCCAGTCACTCGATGAGTAGGACATACTGAGTCAGTCAAGTGGGCAGTTGGTCATTCAGTCAGTTAGTTCAACAGTAACTCAATTAGACAGTTTGTGAGTTGGTCAGTGAAGAAATTACAGAATCGGTGAGTCAAGTATTTAGTAAGTCCATTAGGTAAATTTAGATTTTATTTCAGTAGATAGTGCCCCAATTCTATTTCATGTGTGTCCTGTGAGGGTAACCAGTGAACAAGAGAGTGAGCGTGCGAGCGGCTGCACCTGTGCGTGCAGCGGCCCAGCGTGCCAGTCGGTGAGACTGGTGCCAAGCAGGCCCGAGAGGCGCTCGTCACGCAGAGCAACGAGGTCGCGCCAGCGCTGGGTGGCGGCAGCCAGGGTGGGGCTCGTGGGGGGTGCCGGCTCCCTTTCGTCGCCACCCCCGAGCCTGGCCCGCGAGCGCGCATGAGATGCCACCAGCCTCCCCAGCGCGAGGTCGAGGTGGAGGGGGTGTCATCGGATCATGGGAAAGCAGCAGAGCAGTGGCAGTGGTTAGAGACCCCAAGCCACTGGTGGAGTTGGGGCCCCGAGTGGCAGAGCGAGTGGCTTGCTGCCACAAGGTCGCGAGATCAGAATTGGAATTAATATTTATACTGGAGGGGAAAGAGGTCAGAACGTTACACCAACAAACAGTGCAAACACGATATGAGTGCAAACTATAGGAAAAGTAAACAAACCACTTAAAAAATATACAATATAAAACTAAATTTTTTATGTTACCAGGTAAAGCCCACTGAGCTATTAGCTTGTTTTTCAGGAGTGACCCGGCCATCACAAATGATAGTTCAACAAAGTGGCTACTTGGGAGGGGGGAGGGTTCTCATCCCATCACTCCTCCAGGGTGAATAAATTAAGCACCCTTAAATTTTTACTCTCCAACACACCGGTGTACTGAACTAGTAACTCATTGGCATGTTTTGTTTACTTGACAAACCTTACAAATCGGCTATGTCTGGTGGTGGCAGGTTTAACAACACATTTATCGATCTAACCCAAAAACCTCTTATGGAGTGGTTGTCCTGTGTATAGAGTCATCAACACCGACTCAGGGCTGTGAACCACCGCCTCAACGTCCGTCTAGGACAGGATCGCTCTGACTTTTGGGGGGTGCTAGTGAAACCCTATTCGACGGCACTATCATCGCTTAAGCCGGACGGTGGTGGTGGGGGCTACGCGGCACGAGGCCTGCGATCCAGCGCTGGTGCAGGCAGCAGCAGCGCGAATTGGCGGATTGCACGCGGATGTCGTGAAACTCCCTTCCTGTGTGGGGGTCCAGGAGGAGGCATATCCTAGCTCTGCCAAAAGGACAATATGGCAAGTGGACTAATCACCAACCATTGTCATGCATACGGTGATGGTGTTGGCTCCTGGTGATAGGCGTGGGTTTTCTCAGGGTTTTATTCCATTTGAATTCTAAAACACAACTCACTATTAAATGGTTGAAAACATCTGTAAAGGAAACACCCAATGTCTGGTGTGAGATTCGTTGTTGTTTGTCTGAGAGAGGCCCGAACCCTGAACCTGACCCTGACTTTAACTCCAACATGCCCCACTATTCTTTAACGCTGATCCAACCCCCTCCCCCCCACACCCATCCCTGTGTAACGCATTCCCCACGCCCTCACTCGTCCGCATGTTCCCGCGCCTCCTCGGCCCGGTGACGGGCGTGCGTGGTGGCCGCCACGAGCTCCAGGAGGCGCCGCTCGGCGCGAAGGAGGCGTGGGCGAGCGGCCAGCGAGGATGCAGCGCAGGAGCAGTGAAGGCGCCGCTCGCACTCAGCATGTCGCTCACTCTCGCGGCCCACCAACGAGCTCCCCCTCTCCAGTGCCTCCTGCAAAGACCCCCGTGTGTAGCCTTAGCACTGTCAGGACGAGTTGCCATTGGCGAGTAGCAGCAACCTACGAAGGCTGGCATGGCGCACGAGGGCGTGGGTGTACCAAAGCCACGCCCGGCCACCTTCGTCTGGCCAGTTAGCATTGTTTACACATTAGAACAGGTGCTAATTTGAGGCCGAGTCGACCTAGGGGCGGCCTCAGGGACAGATCAGATAATCGTCATTTGTGTTGGCCACGAGTAGGAATTGTACTCAGGTCGCCGGGTTCATAGCATCGCTCGCTAACCGCTGTACTACCGATCCCCACGGCACACACACATACATATAAAATTAACATCACGTACCAGTATGAGATGTGTGTCTGTACAAAATACAGACTACAAGACCTCGCCTTCCGAGTGACCTACATGCCACGAATACTTGCAGACATGAACCTGCATACCTACACACACACCTAGACTAACACAACAACAGTCATTCGCCACTAAGAGGCGGTGACATCACCATGGCGTTTGTGCCAGGCTATGTGCACGTTGAGGCCACGTGAAATGTCGAATGCCTGCTGGAAGGTCATGGGGCAGACCCAGGTGCCACGGATCTACTGACTGAGATGACTGGCCGATGCACCACCTGTGCCCCCTATTGTGCCAACTTGCTGTGCTTTAGCCACCCGACACTCCACTCGTTGTTGTGTCACTCCTCTGCCCTCCATTGTTGTTGGAGGGTGACTGCCTCCAACTGCCCAGTAGCCTCCGCCACATATGCCGATCTTGACACTGCTAGTACCAGTCATCGGCAAGTCCACTCAGCTCCACATCCTCTTGTACCACATCACTCCATCTCTTCTCTAGCCCATGCCGTGCCCATTTAGCCCCCTCTCTCTGACCGAACAGGAACGGTTTAGGCATGCAGTGGCTGGGCACGCGGGCTACATGACCCAGCCAACACAGCCTTGCCTGTTGGCGAAGCTCGCTGATGGGACTTTGTCCAGATCTTTCAAGGATTTGTGAGCTCCTCACACAATCCAGCCTGGTTAAACCCAGGATGGATCATAGGCAGGCCAGCCTAAATGTTTCTGACCGGCGAAGATGTTCCGTTCGGTGGGTTCACCTTTCACAAGCGTAGAGAAGGGAGGGCATGACTGTGGCTGAGAAGACCTGAATCTTCGTGTGGAGCGACAGACCAGGTAGTTTCCACACAGCATTATGCAACCAATGAAAAGATAATGCCGCTCGACTAATTCGGAATGAGACCTCTGCTGTCAAACCGGAGCCGGTCATGAGCACACTTCCCAGGTATGGGAAACTATCCACAACTGCCCCATTACCAATTGGGAGTTGTTGGGGTGGAGTGTCTGATGGTACAAAATACCCAGACCAACACACACACACCTAGACCAGCAAACCCAGGCATACACACGCCAAGATATACAAACACCAATCAAGATACACACCAAGGCACACACATGCCGAAACACACACACTCCTGCATACCTACACAAACACCTACAGTAGACAGGACCGGTTAAAACAATTGTTGCTGGTGTTGGCCATGAACGGGAATCGAACTTGGGTCCCCGGGTTTGTAGCGCAGCGTCCACACACGTCACCACAGCGCTAGTGCCAGGCTAGCTGCACTTTGAGGCCGCTACATGAGGCCGCCACACATGTTAAAGGCTCTCACTACTAGCAGGTCACGGAGCAGACCCAGGTTCTATGGGTTGGCTGAGATGACTGGCAGATGAATCATCTGTGCCCCCTAATGTGCCAACTTGCTGCATTTTAGCCGCCCAGCGCACCACTCATTGCTGTGAGCGTTGCTCCTCTGCCCTCCGCTGTTGCTGGAGGGAGACTGCTTCCAACTGTCCAGTAGCATCCTTCATGAGCCTCCTCCAGAGATCGATCATGACAGCGCTGGTACCACTCAGCTCCACATCCTCCTGTACCGCATCAGCCCATCTTCTCTCTTGTCCATGCCGTGACTGTTTAGCCCCATCTATCCGGCCAAACAGAAGCTGTTTTGGCATGCAGTGGCTGGGTACATGGGCTACGTGATCCAGCCAACGCTGCATCGACTATCGTATTTCACTGATGGGACTGTGTCCAGATCTTTCGTATATAAACATTCCCCCAATAGCCTTAACATATTGTTGAGGCAAGTGCTGTTAGCGAGCACCTATGAAGGCCAACACAACACATGTGGGAGTGTGTGGCTAGTAACATGATTAGCTGCCTTTGTCTCCCCAAGTGCTGATGTTTACACACTGCACCAGGTACTCATTTGATGCCGAGTCGGCCTAAACTGGTTAAGATATTCGCCACCGATGTTGGCCATGACCAGGAATCGAACTCGGGTCAGCAGTTTTGTAGCACAGCGCACCAAACAACCACGCCAGTCTACTGCTACTGCTGCCATCCCATAGCAACATCTGGCAGCAAATATTGGACAAGGAACTCCCCAGGGTTACGCCCCATCCATCCACTCTGATTTTATGCCAAGCAAAGCAACCAAGTTCACAGATCCACTTGAAGAAGAGACTGGCTGCAGAATAGCAGACGCATTGTATAGGGAAGCAGCGGGTTGTATCCGTCACTCTGGCTGCAGGTTGACGGATACAGCTAAATGATGCACGGCTGCGAGAGGTTTTACCAGAGCGGCAACGAGCCTCGAACCGCGAACCCCATCCCCCACACAGCAAGTGGCCACCGCACGACCGCTTGGGCCTCGTCATGCCGCAGGTGCGGTGTCGATTCTCTGCACTGGAGTCTGCTCCAGCGATCGACCGTCATCGATGGTGTCAGAGGCGACTTGGCATCGATGTCACGGACCTGCAGCCGGTGTAGCTGCATGCGATCTTGCTCCATCTTCTGTCGGCATGTCCTCCACTGCCGCTCCACCAGCGACATCACTCCCAGCAGCACCAGCGACCCCCCTCCTCAGCGGGCCCAGGGGACCCTGGGGAAGAGGACACGCTCCTTCACCAGCTCATCCATTCAAACAACCACTCATCAAATCACCTACTCAATCAGTCACCCACACTTATCGACTTCTGTCCCCCCCACCTCACTCACAATGAACCCACCCATTCAACTACTGCTGCAATTTGCCAATAAGCGGCGGTAACGTCATCACGGTGCTTGTGCCAGGCTAGGTGCACTTTGAAGCCATATGAGGTGTCGAAGGCTTGCTGGAAGGTCATAGGACAGACCCCGGTGCCATGGGTTGATTGAGATGGCTGGCAGATGCACCACCTGTGCTCCTTACTCTGCCCGCTTGTTGTTGTGAGCGCTCATCTGCCCTCTGTTGTTGTTCGAGGGCAACTGCCTCCAACTTCCCAGCAGCGTACTTCACGAGCCTCTTCCACAGAGGCCGATCTTGACACCGCTGGTACCAGTCATGGGCAAATCCACTCAGCTCCACATCTTCATCTACCGCATCAACCCATCTCTTCTATAGCCCATGTCGCGCCCATTTAGCCCCCTCTATCTGGCCAAAGAGAAGCTGCTTGTGCATGTGATGCTTGGGCATGTGAGCTACAACATAACCCAGTCAAAGCAGCATTGCCTTGCGGAGGAGTTCAGCGATGGGCCTGTGTCCAGATCTTTCAACGATTTGTTGAGCTCCTCGCACAAATCTAGCCTGGTTAAACCCAGGGTGGATCATAGGCAGGCCAACCTGAATGTTTCAAACCGGCGCAGATATTCCATTAGAGGGGTTCACGTTTCGCAAGCATTGAGAAGGGAGGGCATGACTGTGGCCGAGATGACCTCAACTTTCTAGTAGAGCGACAAACCAGGTAGTTTCATAAAGCATTACGCATGTCATGAAAGATAATGCTGCTCGATTGATTCGGAGTGAGACCTCTGTTGCCAAACCAGAATTTGGTGGTGTTGATGGTAAGGCCCCACCTGTTAGTGGAATGCTCCAGGTTCAACAGCAGAGCCTGCAACTCCTCTGAGTGAGCAGCACTCACCAGATCATCAGCATATGTAACATGGTTGACCAATAGGGAGCCATCCCTTGACTGCACCCGGGCATCAATCAGCCTCCCGTTGTATCTGTACCAGATAGAGATTCTTTTGGTACAGCTATGGAAAGCTTCTAGAACCACGTGATAGAAAAATATGCAAAATAGTGTAGGATCCAAAAGACATCCCTGTCACACCCCAAGGTGATCAGGGAATAACCAGCCATGCAGCTTTACTCGGGCCTGCCCACCATCATGAAGGTCCTTAATGATTGTAAGCAGAGAGTCAGGGACCCCGAAAGCATGAACAACAACCCAGAGCCCTATCATAAGCCTTGACCATGTTAATGAAGCAGATATATAGGTCGCTGATTATAACAACTACCGGGCATCTCCCTCCTCAGTATTAGGCTGGGAGGAGGTCCTGATCAACATCGCCCCCTTGCAAGGCAGCAGGCTGAGAAGAGGCTTGCGGAACCCCAATGTGGTTTCAGGCCGGGGCAGTCGTGCATGGACACCATTTTTTTTGTCTGTGCAGTACAACAGAGGTGTGGGAATTTAAACATCACCCACTTACATACCCACCCACCCACTCACACATTCATTCACCTCACCCACCCATTCACCTCACCCACCCACTCATTCACCTCATCCACCAACCCAATCACACACACTCATTCACCTCACCCACCCACTAACTCACTAATTCACCTCACCTACCCACTCACTAGTTAACCTCACCAACCTGAATCACCCACTAATTCACCCCACCCACCCACCCATTCACCTCACCCACCCACCCATTCACCTCACCCACCCACTCATTCACCTTACCCACCCATTCACCTCACCCACCCACTCATTCACCTCATGCACCAACCCAACCACCCACTCATTAACCTCACCCACCCACTCACTCACCCACTAATTCACCTCCCCAACCCACTCACTAATTCACGTCACCAACCCACTCACCCACTAATTCACCTCACCCACACATTCACTTCACCCACCCACTCACCCACTAATTCACCTCACCTACCCACTCACGAATTCACCTCACCAACCGAATCACCCACTCATTCACCTCACCCACCCACTCATTCATCTCATCCACCCACTCATCTCACCCAGCCACCTCACACACCCACTCATGTTAATTCACCTCACCCAACCACACACTCATTCACCTAAACAACCCACTCACACACTCAATCACCTCTCCCATCCACGCACCAACTCATTCACGTCACCCACAGACATTCATTCACTTAACCAACCCACTCATTCACCTCACCCACCCACCTCACCCACTAATTCACTTCACCAACCCACTCACTCACCCACCGACTCACTAATTCACCTCATCCACCCACTCATTCCCCTCACCCACCTCACCCACACATTCACCTCACCCACCCACACACATTCACCTCACACACGCATTCACTTAACCCACCCACACACATTCACCTCACACACGCATTCACTTCACCCACCCACACACATTCACCTCACACACACACCCACACACATTCACCTCACACACACATTCACCTCACACACGCATTCACCTCACACACACATTCACCTCACACACGCATTCACCTCACACACGCATTCACCTCACACACACATTCACCTCACACACACACACCCACACACATTCACCTCACACACGCATTCACCTCACACACACATTCACCTCACACACACATTCACCTCACCCACCTCACACACATTCACCTCACACACACACCCACACACATTCACCTCACACACGCATTCACCTCATCCACACACACTTCACTCACATTCATTCAGCTCACCCACTCGTTCACCTCACCCACCCACTCATCTCACCCACCCACCTCACCCAACTCACCCATCCACCCACCTCACATGCATTCACCTCGCACACACATTGACCTCACATACACACACTAATTTACCTCACACACACTAATTTACCTCACACATTCACCTCACACACACATTAACCTCACACACATTTACCTCACACACATTCACCTCACACACACATTTACCTCACACACATTCACCTCACACACATGCACCTCACACACACATTTACCTCACATTCACCTCACACACACATTCACCTCGCACACACACACACACACCTCACACACACATTCACCTCACACACATTCACCTCACACACACATTTACCTCACACATTCACCTCACACACACACACTCACCTCGCACACACACTCACCTCACACACACTAATTTACCTCACACACACTAATTGACCTCACACACACTAATTGACCTCACACACACTAATTGACCTCACACACACATTCACCTCACACACACACTAATTTACCTCACACACACATTCACCTCACACACATTTACCTCACACATTCACCTCACACACATTTACCTCACACATTCACCTCACACACACTAATTGACCACACACACACATTCACCTCACACACACTAATTGACCTCACACACACTAATTGACCTCACACACACACATTCACCTCACACACATTTACCTCACACATTCACCTCACACACATTTACCTCACACATTCACCTCACACACATTTACCTCACACATTCACCTCACACACACTAATTGACCACACACAATTCACCTCACACACACATTCACCTCACACACACTAATTGACCTCACACACACATTCACCTCACACACACATTCACCTCACACACATTTACCTCACACACACACACTAATTTACCTCACACACATATTCACCTCACACACATTCACCTCACACACACTAATTTACCCCACCCAGATTCACCCACGTTCGCCCGGTCCTCGCCTGCTAACTTCACGCTGCTGGTCCCGACCTGCAGATCCCCTCGGCTTAGGAGAGGTCATTGGAGCGAGTCCTGGTGACTCGGCACGGGTCCTCGGTGGCTCGGCACGGGTCCTCGGTGGCTCGGGTCGCGTGTTCCGAGCCGAGCCGGGAGAGGCGGCACGGCGCCGGTGGCTCCACGAGAACCGCGCGGCGTCACGTGACTCGGCCGTCACGTACTCATCCCGGTTCGCGGCGACGCGGTGGTTAGCGCAGTTGCTCAGCACAGGCCCAAAAAAAACCCCAACGTGACACTCCTATCGTGACACTCGATAGGAGTGCCACGCGTGTCGTGAATTGAGCGAGGCGACGATCGCCTGAGCGGTTTCAGCCCAGTGGTCGCCCTGGTTAATACCGCGGTGCCGATTGAATGTTCACAATACGCGGCGGAGGTTGCAGATCCCGTGATGTCATTGGAAAGCGAGGAGGCTTCGGAGCCATCGGCCGTGAGGGCGTCGCGTTTGGAAAATGCCTCCGCAGGCTCAATGGGCGCGACGCATGGCAGCAACATCGCACCACCCCCCCTCACCGCGCGGCCCGTGTGGATGAGACAACAGCGGCGCCTTCCCGCGTGGTGACAGCCCCCATGCGACGATCAGACAGAAAAGTGCTCGCAGTTTTATTTACGATGCGGAGAATTCGGTTCACGTGAGGGCCTTGAAGCGCAGTGGACGAGCGCTGGCCCAAAGCACCAAGTGGGCCAGCAACAAACAGCACTCTTCAAAGTTGTAAACGGATAACAGTAAACGTGTTTCTTAATGTTATCGTTCTACGAGCTTGGGGGAAGAGACGATGATGATGCTGTGGGGAGGGGGACTCCATCATGGAGCAGAGCGAGGAAAGAAGCAGAGGGAGAAGTCAGATAACTTGCAGTGTGGTGAGTGATGTGTGAGTGGGTGGGTGATGTGTGAGTGGGTGGGTGATGTGAGTGGGTGGGTGATGTGAGTGGGTGGTTGAGTGGCTAATGTGTGAGTGGGTGATGTGTGCGTGGGTTGGTGATGTGTGAGTGGGTGGTTGAGTGGCTAATGTGAGTGGGTGGGTGATGTGTGCGTGAGTTGGTGATGTGTGAGTGGGTGGTTGAGTGGGTAATGTGTGAGTGGGTGGTTGATGTGTGAGTGGGTGGTTGATGTGTGAGTGGGTGGTTGAGTGGCTAATGTGTGAGTGGGTGGTTGATGTGTGAGTGGGTGAGTGATGTGTGAGTGGGTGGGTGATGTGTGAGTGGGTGGTGGATGTGTGAGTGGGTGGTTGATGTGTGAGTGGGTGGTTGATGTGTGAGTGGGTGGTTGATGTGTGAGTGGGTGGTTGAGTGGCTAATGTGAGTGGGTGGTTGATGTGTGAGTGGGTGGTTGAGTGGCTAATGTGTGAGTGGGTGGTTGTGTGAGTGGGTGGGTGATGTGTGAGTGGATGGTTGATGTGTGAGTGGGTGGTTCAGTGGCTAATGTGTGGGTGGGTGATGTGTGAGTGGGTGGTTGAGTGGCTAATGTGAGTGGGTGGGTGATGTGTGAGTGGGTGGTTGAGTGGCTAATGTGAGTGGGTGGTTGAGTGGCTAATGTGAGTGGGTGGGTGATGTGTGAGTGGGTGGGTGATGTGTGAGTGGGTGGTTGATGTGTGAGAGAGTGGTTGAGTGGCTGTGTGAGTGGGTGGTTGAGTGAAGGGGTAATGTGTGAGTGGGTTGTTGAGTCCGTGGGTGGTTGATAGGTGAGTGGTTGAGTGGGTAATGAATGGGTGATGTGCGAGTTGGTGGGTGGTTGAGTGGGTTGGTGATGTGTGAGTCGGTGATGTGTGAGTGGGTGGTTGGGTGAGTGGGCGAGTAGGTGGCTGAGTGGATGGGTGGTTGTGTGGGTGGGTGGATGAGTGGGTGATGTGTGAATATGTGGGTGAGTGTGGAATGTGTGAGTGGGTGGGTATGTTGTTGTGACCCGCAGTGATGGTTGAATACGCTGTGGGCGAGACGAAGCGGTCAGCGTCTCGCTAAGCGAGTCCTCGCAGTGGGAGTGCGGTGGATATATATGTGTGTAGAGCGCATTAGACCACCAATGCTCTTGTGCGCAGTTCCATTACGCGGATGCCAGAGGAATGGGAGGGGATTCCAGAGTGGAGAATCGTGGGGGCATTGATAGGGGACGGACCGAAATGAATGACAGAAGCGAATTCCCAATCGGCAGCCGTGGGGGAGAGCGGAATTCCCGCGGGGTCAACGTGGCAAGACGAGTGCCCATCTATGACCGTGCCGTTGCTTCTGATCATGGTCATGAAGCCGCCCCACTCCCACCCACACCACGACCCAGGGAAGGGGCGGGGCCTAAAAAAGGAAAGGCGTGGAGCCGTACGAGAAGTGCAGAACACCAAGTCCTCCACCACAGCAGCAGCAGCGTCAAATCATGAGTAGAACCACAGCTCTGGAGAGCGACGGTGCTGTTGTCACATCGCCAGAAGAGCGAGCCATTAGCTGGAAGAGTGGGTGAGTGGGTGGGTGAGTCGTGGATTGAGTGGGTGACTGAGTCAGTGGGTGAATGAGTAAATGACTGGGTGCGTGAATGGGTGAGGGTGAGTGAATGAGTGGGTTTGTGAGTAAATGAGTCAGTGAATATGTGAAGGAGTGGGTTTGGTAGGTGAGTGAGTTGTTGCAACCATTTTCAAAGACCAAACCCGGGCGTTTTTCAGTCTGCACTCGGTCTATCCCATCATCATCAGATCTCATCATCGCCAAATCTTATCACAAAATCTCAATGTCATCGCCAGATGTCGGTACAAATGGATTCCTGATGCCACCGGCTCAAGGGTGCCGCTGACCGCCTTGGGGACCGCCCCGCTGCGTTTAACCCCCAAGTGCCAATGGAGGTTTGGGGACTCATGACCACTGAGCATTCCCCAACACTTACAACAATGGCGAGGTGTATGTGTCGGGGGGCCTGGCACATGAATAATCACGCGTGTGACTCAAGGCCCTCACATCGTGAATGAACGCCAGCACTACGGCGGGAGGGGAGGGTGGGCCTCAGTACATGCATGTGATGGAGAGTCGCGGTACACACACACGCGTGTTATCGGGGGTCGCGGCACACACGTGTATGTGCGTGACGAGACGAGTCGGCTCCTAGCAGGTGTAGCCGTCCTCCGTGTTTCCCACCAGGCGCTGGCGAGCGAAGTCCTCAAACACAAAGTCATCGTCACTGTGCGGCAAAAAGACAAAGTTCCACCGTGTAGCCTTAACAGACTGATGTGGCAAGTGCTGTTAGCGGGCAGCACCTATGAAGGCCGGCACGGCACATGAGGAGGTGGGTGGCCAGCACCACGCCTGGCCGCCTTTGTCTCCCCAGTGGCAATGTGTGTACACACTGCACCAGGTACTAATTTGAGGCTGAGTCGACCTAGGGGCGGCCCAGGACCCGTTCAGATAATCGTCACTGGTGTTGGGCGGGAATGGGAATCGAACTCGGGACCCTGGGTTTGTAGTGCAGCGCGCTAATCGCAACACTACTGCGCAGTGAAGGATAGATGAGATAGGGGAGTGACGTGGTTGGAAGTGTCTGTCAGTGGTGTGGAACTCACTGAGAGTCAAACTCCATGAGGTCCCTTGAATCCGGCTCCACAGGCACTTCCTCTGCACACACATAGACACCACGCAGACACCGCATTCAATACAGACGCCGCACACACAGAGACACCACACCACATTCAACACACGCACCACACACAGAAACACCACACACAGAAACACCACACACAGAAACACCACACACAGAAACACCACACACAGAAACACCACACACACACTGCATGCAACACATACACACACCATACACATCCGAGACACCACACACGCACTGCAGACAGAAACACACACAGACAGACACCACACACACACACCAATAACAACAGATCCCCGTATAGCTTTAGCAGACTGTTGGGGAAGAGCTGTTAGCGAGCACCTAAGAACGGCACACGAGGGGGTGGGTGGCCAGAACCACGACCGACCGCCTTTGTCTACCCAGTGGCGATATTTTTACACACTCCCATCAGGTACTCATTTTAGATTTAGTCGACCTCGGGGAGGCCCAGGACCGGTTCATATAAATTTCATTGGTGTTGGCCGTGAGTGGGAATTGAACTCGGCTCGCCGGGTTCGTAGCGCAGCACGCTAACTGCTACACTACCGCTCCCCACACACACCACAGACACCACACACACACCACAGACACCACACACAACGCACCAGAACACACACACCACACACACACACAGGCACCATACACAGACCCAAGAATGGGGGATCTGGTCTCACCCGGGGGAGCTGGGATCTTCTTTCCACTCCCCTCCTCCTCCTTGGGTTTGGGATGCATCAGGGTAAAGGGAAGTTCCACCAGGGCATCCCTGAGACACACGGCGGCGACATGTTAGCTGCCTCGCCTGATATAGAGGATGGTCGTGGGTTCGATCCCGACCCAGATGCCTGCTGTATATTTGGAATGTGCATGTTTCTCTCCCCGTGGTGACATGGATTTGTGTCCGGGTCCTCCGGCTTTTCCCCCCACATTTAGAAACATGCATTTACAGTATTGGCTGCTAGAAATGTACGCGTGATAAGTCGCTTCGTTGAGCTATCATTTGTGGCCATGTCACTTCAGAAAAATACCTGCATAGCTCAGTGGGCCTTACCTGGTGAAATAAAAAGTAGTGTTTTAGTTAGTTACATGCATATACACAATCAAAATCTTTATTTAGACTGGAGGAACCCGATGAGCTATGAAGCTCTTCTTCAAATATGTCTAGTACATCTGTGAAATACACAGTGCTTGTGCATGTGTGCGTGTGTTTGTTTCCGGCCTTCAAAGGTGCTCGCTAACCGCACTTGCCCCTACTTTCTGTTAAGCCTATATGGGAGATCTTTGTCTTTGTATCCATTTGGTATAGATATAATGGGAGGCTGATCGATGCCCGGGTGCGGTCAAGGGATGGCTCCCTATTAGGCAAACACGTTATGTATTTCGATTTAAAGCTTTCGTGACTGCAAGGATCCATCTTCATTGATTCTTTCGTTAAAGTCACGTAGATTGAGGATAAAATAATAAAATAACACAATAAAATTCTCACGACGTTTCGGCCACAACGCAAGCGGCCGTCTTCAGGTGAAAGGAACAGACCTGTGGGGACGACAGAGCTTCAATGAACGATGTTAAGATTCGTAGCGACTTTTAAGCTGGTTGGGAGAAGTGAGGCACCTTGACAAAGGGGTTTACTTTTCGATTTAAAGCTTTCGTGACTGCAAGGATTCATCTTCTTTGGTTATTTCGGTAAAGTCACGTAGAATGAGAATAAAAAATAAAATAACACAATAAAATTCTCACGACGTTTCGGCCACAACGCAAGCGGCCTGTCGGGACGACGCTTGCGTTGTGGCCGAAACGTCGTGAGAATTTTATTGTGTTATTTTATTTTTTATTCTCATTCTACGTGACTTTACCGAAAGAACCAAAGAAGAAAAAGGGGTTTACATATCAAATAGCTGAGGGATTAGCTTGTGACTGGTCACAGAAATGGCTATGTTAAAGTCAAAACCTACACATCCACAGAGGCAATTAGTAATTTAGCATTGAAATAGCTAAGGGATTAGCTTGTGATCGGTCACAGAAATAGATATTAAAGTAAAGGCCTACACATCCACAGAGCTTCAATGAACGCTGTTAAGATATTTTAGCGACTTTAAGCTGGTTGGGAGAAGTGAGGCACCTTGACAAAGGGGGTTTACATATCAAATAGCTGAGGGATTAGCTTGTGACTGGTCACGGATATGGCTATGTTAAAGTCAAAACCTACACATCCACAGAGGCAACTAGTAATTTAGCATTGAAATAGCTAAGGGATTAGCTTGTGACTGGTCACAGAAATAGATGTTAAAGTAAAGGCCTACACATCCACAGAGCTTCAATGAACGCTGTTAAGTTTCGTAGCGACTTTAAGCTACGAATCTTAACAACGTTAAGATTCAGTTGAGTTGTTGCAGCCCCCTTTGGCGTCCATGTACGAGCTTAAAGTCGCTACGAATCTTAACTGCGTTCATTGAAGCTCTGTGGATGTGTAGGCCTTTACTTTAACATCTATTTCTGTGACCAGTCACAAGCTAATCCCTTAGCTATTTCAATGCTAAATTACTAATTGCCTCTGTGGATGTGTAGGTTTTGACTTTAACATAGCCATTGTTCATTGAAGCTCTGTCGTCCCGACAGGTCTGTTCCTTTCACCTGAAGACGGCCGCTTGCGTTCTGGCCGAAACGTCGTGAGAATGTTATTGTGTTATTTTATTATTTTATTCTCATTCTACATGACTTTACCGAAAGAACCAAAGAGAACGTTATGTATGCCGATGATTTGGTAATTGCTGCTCATTCAGAGGAGAAGTTGGAGACGCTGCTGCTGAAACTGGAGCGTGCCACTAAGAGGTGGGGCCTTACCATCAGCCCCACCAAAACTAAGCACCTGCCTGGGTATTTTGTACCATCGGACACTCCACCCCCACAACTCCCAATCGGTGATGGGGCAGTTGTGGAGAGAGTGGAGAGTTTCCCATACCTGGGCAGTGTGCTCATGACCGGCTCTAGTTTAACAGCAGAGGTCTCACTATGAAGCAGTCGAGTGGCAATATATTTTCATCGGTGCGTAACGCTGTGTGGAAGCTACCTGGTTTGTCGCTTCGCACGAAGCTTCAGGTCTTCTCGGCCACGGTCATTCCCTCATGCATGGATGCCATTTTCTCTGTCCGTTTGCTACATCAGAGGTGTAGGGAATTCCAACAGGACCTACATCTCTGCTTTATTGGCCTGGTCAAGGCCTATTATACGATCAATAGGCCTGGGCTCTGTGTTGTTATTCGTGCTTTCAAGGTCCCCGACTCTCTGCTCACACTCATTAAGGGCCTTCATTATGGTGGGCAGGGCCAGGTAAAGCTATGTGGGTGTCAGAGCAATTTTCACTATTCTGACCCCAACACTATTTAAAATCGTCTTTGACCATGTAATTTGAGAAGCTTTCCATTGCTGTACCGGTGGAATTTCCATCTGGTACAAATACATTGGGAGGCTCATCAATGCCCATGTGTGGTCAACGGATGGCTGCCTATTGGTCAACCATGTTTTGATGTTATGTATGCTGATGATGTGGCGATTGCTGCTCACTCAGAGGAAGAGTTGGAGGTGCTGCTGCTGAATCTTGAGTGTGCCACTAAGAGGTGGGGTCTTACCATCAGCCCACCAAAACTAAACACCTGCCTGGATATTACGTGCCATCAAACACTCCACCCCCTCAGCTCCCCATTGGTGATGCAGCAATTGTGGAGAGAGTGGAGATTTTCACATACCTTGGCAGTGTGCTTATGAACAGCTCTTGTTTGACAGAGGTTTAACTCCGAATCAGTTGGGCGGTATTATATTTTCATTGGCTGGGTAATACTATGTGGAAGCTGCCTGGTCTGTCACTCTACACAAAGTTTCGGGTCTTCTCGGCCAATCATGCCCTCCCTTCTCTATGCTAGTGAAACGATGACCCCTCTAATGGAACATCTGCGCAGGTGAGAAACATTCAGGTTGGCCTGAACAAGGGAGGGCAGAGGGAGCGATGCTCACAACAATGAGCAGAGTGCCGGGCGGCTACAACGGAGCAAGTTAGCACAGTAGGGGGTACAGGTGGTACATCTGCCAGTCTTCTCACTCAACCCATGGCACATTGGTCTGTTCGGTGACCTGTCAGTGAGCCTTCCGACACTTCGCGTGGCTTCTTCACATGGCCTGGCACACATGGCGTGGTGATGTCACCACCACTTAGTGGCGAATGGCGGTTATTGTGTGTATGCGTGTGTATCCGTCCGTTACCCCCCGCGTGCCACCACGACCTTGACCTTCACACGGTACGAGACGACGATCCCCAGCAACTCCTTGCTTACTCCCTCCTTCACTCTGCACCACGTGGGGAGGACGACCACAGCACGACGAGGTGGGGGGAGGGACGAAAGCACAACGATATTGGAGGGACAATAGCACTGGCAACACCACGGTGGCTAAGAGATGTTAACTACCTCGTCTGGTATATAGGAGGTAGTGGGTTCGATCCTCAGCCTAACGATGCCTGCCGTATGTTTGGAGTTTGTTTCTCTTTCTCTCCCAGTGGTTTAAGTGATTTTTCTCCGGGTCCTCCGGTTTTTGCCTCCACATTTAGAATCAACGTCACGCGTTTCGAGTATTTGGCTGCTACTATATATTTACACGTGATAAGCCACTTCATTTGGGAAATTATTTGTGGTAGCCTGCTCTCTTCCAAAAAAGAGCTATACAGTTTAGTGGGCCTTACCTGGTAACATAAAAATTGTTTAGTTTATAGAGTTGGAGGAGTGGTAGTCGTGCGATTATATGAAGGAGGAGACAAGGTTTTGTGGCCGAGGTTGTGTGGCCGAGGTTGTGTGGCCGTGGTTGTGTGGTGGTAGTGCGGTGGTGGTGCGGTGGTTACATGGAAGAGGCGAGGTTGTGTGGTTGTGCGGTGGTGATCCGGTGGCGGTGCTGTGGTAGTGGTGCGATGATGGTGCTGTGGTTCTGTGGTGGTGGTTGTGCAATGGTGGTGGTGCGGTGATGGTGCTGTCGTTGTGTGGTGGTGGTGTGGTGGTGGTGCTGTGGTTGTGCGGTGGTGGTGCAGTGGTGGTGGTGCGATGGTGGTGCGGTGGTGGTGGTGGTGCAGTAGTAGTGCGGTGGTGGTGCAGAGGTTACATGGAGGAGGAGGCGAGGTTGGTGTCGCCATGGCGTAGCTGTCCGTCGAGCGCCAGGCCGCGCTTGTCGCGGTTGTTGTCGAGGAGCGGAGTCAGGCGGAACTCCCGGCACAGCGTGGCACCCGGCCCCACCGTCTCTCTGCCACAACCACACAACAACCACACAACAGCCTCGCAATCACAAACGCACAACAAACGTACAATTCCAACCACACAACAACCGCACAACAACCGCACAATAACAACCACACAATCATAGCTGCACAACAACCGCATAATCACAATACACAACAAGAACCTTGCAATCACAGCCGCACAATCACAGGCACACAATAACAATCACATCACAGCCTCGCCTGCGCATGGCCACGGCGTGGCTGTGGTGTGCCCAGCCGTGTCACTCACTCTGCCTCTTCCGCCGCCACGGGACACCGGTACTGAGCCGTGCTGAACAGGCAGATGTCTGCGCACTGCCGCACTGCACTCATACAAAGACAAAGATCCCCCACGTAGCCTTCAAAGACCGTAGGGACCAGTGCAATCACACAAAGACAAAGATCCCCCATATAGCCTCAACGGACTGTTGGGGCAAGTTCTGTTAGCAAGCACCTATTAATGCCGGCACGGCACACAAGGGGGGTGGGTGGCCAGCACCACGCCCGACCGCCTTTGTCTCCCCAGTGGCGATATTTTTACTCATTTAAGGCTCAGTCGATCTAGGGGAGGCCCAGAACAAGTTCAGATAATCGTCACTGGTGTTGCCCGGGAATCAAACTCGGGTCGCCGGGTTCGTAGTTTCGAGTGCTACCCAATGTGCTACCGCTCCACACACAGGTAGGTACACACACACGGAGACAACAACCGCTGTTTGCCACTAGGCGGCGGTGACATTACCATAGCGCTGGGGGAGACACGGGGACACGTCTCCGTGTTTTCCCTTATATTCGCACGTGTGTGCCCCCCCCCCCTTTCTCCCACGTGCCCCCGTGTCTCCCCATTCTCCCTGTGTTTCCTCGCGTTTTCCCACATGTCCCCATATCTCCCCGCGTGTATCCCCATTCTCCCCACATCTCCCTGCCTGCCCCCCCCCCCCTGTTTTCCCACAGCTCCACGTGTGTCCTCGCTTGTCCCTGCATCTCTCCGTCTCTGCTCGCGTGTTCCCGTGTGTCCCTGTCTCCCACGTGTCCCGCATGTCCCGAAATCTCCCCGCATGTCCCCGTGGCTTCCTACGTGTTCCTGTGTCTCATTGTGTGTCCCCGTGTGTCCCTGTGGTGCCACGACCGCGGAGCCACTCTGCAAGCGCCGCGACCCTGCCCTGAACGCACACACATGCCGCACACACGCACACACGTAGGGTCCCGATGGGGGATTGCCTGGCACCATGGGTTTTCATACAAAGGGCCCCTAGCGGGGATGTCCCATGGTTTCCCGGTGCCAGGAGATTGGCCGACCCCCCCAGGCCAAATTACATTGCGGCCCCCCTTTCATTGGCTTAAAATTGTATGGGCGCACAGAAGCTCACCGGGCTAACCGCAATGAGATGCTCACAGCATGGGGGAGGGGCCAGGGCAAAATATTACGTGAGCAGTGCAGACGAGGAGGTGGGAGAGAAATCCCTGTGGACACCGTGGGTGTGTATTGAGCCGGGCGGCCGCTCAGGGTTTACCGGCTGAGGAATGTGGGCGCGGAGACAATAGACGGGGGGGGGGGCGGTAGTGTGACGTAATGCCTTGAAAATGGCTGTGAAACGTTCGAAAATCGAAAGGTAGGTGCACGATTGGCTGCGCAGGATGACGTCACGTAACCCTGGATTTTGCAGGGGCGGGGTGTTTTAAACCTGCTCGCCGACGCTCGCGCATGTTTATGCACGCGTGTGTGCAAAATAAGCGCCTGTAGGGGCGTGCGTGGTTACCCGCGTGTTGGAAATTTGCGCCTTCAGGGGCGCGCGCGTGCACGCCACGCGGGATCGTGCGAGATAACCCCGGGCGGTGGTGAGCTGGCCAATTAGCAATATCCTACAGAGAGGGCGCTGGCGCGGGGGGGCCGATCACCCGATCAGTGGGGGCCCGGCGAGAGGGGGCCGACGAGGAGGGGGGAGTGGAGGGGGTGGACGTCGCACCCCGCCCACTCACAGGGAGCAGGGAGGCGGGCGTTGGCCCCCACATCCCCATTTTTTCCTGTATATCCCCGCGTGTCCGTGTGTCTCCCCGTATCTCCCCCTGTTATCCCGCATGTCTCCACATCTCGCGTGTCCCCGTGTCTTCCCACGTTTCCCTGTGTCTCCCCGTGTGTCCCCGCGTGTCCCTGTATCTCCCCGCGTGTCCCCTGCACCCCTCACCGGACACCTTGATGCGCTTGACGGAGCGCGAGGAGGAGTTCGTCACGCGGACGTTCACGCTGATTGGCTCCCCGTGGTAATAGATCTGCACACAGATCGGTCAGCCGTCACTCAGCCGTCACTAACACACTCAATGTCACTCACTCATCACCCATCACTCGCTCACTCACGTTAATTCGCCTGTGGGTGAACTGTGTAAATCTACAGGTGAAACCAAGTGAGCCTCAAGCTGAGCTTACAGGTGACCTCAGGTGAGCCTATAAGTGAACCAAGGTGACCCTACAGGTAAGTCTGCAGATGAGCCTGCAATTAAGAAGATGAGCGTGCAGGTGAGCTTGCAGGTGGGCCTACAGGTGAGCCTGCAGTTAAGCCTGCAGGTGAGTAGACTGATGTGCCTGCAGGTAACCAGACAGCCTACAGGTGAGCAGACAGGCGAACTTACAGGTGATCAGACAGGTGAGGCTGCAGCTGAGCAAACAGGTAAGCCTGCAGGTGAGAAGTTAGGTGATCCTGCAGGTGAGAAGGCAGGTGAGCCTGCAGGTGAGGCCCTCACCTGCTTGTCGAGCGAGGCCTCCAGGTGCAGCGCTTTGTCTGAGAGCAGAAACTGCCTCCGCGTCTCGGCCACCGGCTGTGGCCCCGAGCGCAGAGGCGCAAACTGAACCTTCCTGATGCCCAGCGACACCGAGTTCCTGCAACCAGGGCGACAGCTGGCCTAGTGTCTGGTCGCCGGGGGAAGTGGGTCACCGTGGTAACACCGTCGCTGTGGCGGTTGGTCGCCACGTTGATCCGAGGCCTTGATGATCGTTGACCACTGACAATCCATCACCAAGAATTGTTGCCTGGCGGCACGTTTCCCAGTCGGCATGTTACCTAGCAACAGCGCCTCGTGGCAGTTTATGAAGCAACCTGTTGCTTAGCAGCAGTTCACCTAACGACCTGTTGTCTAGCATCAGTTTACTCAGCGACCTGTTGCCTAGCACCCTATGGCCTTGCGACCAGTTTCCAGTTGAGGAGGGTGGCTCACCGGTGGTGCGGCTTCTCGTCAGGGTTGGTGGCACAGAACGCCTTCACGTCGTAGTCCACGCCACATGCCTTGGGGTGGGGGACACGGGGAGCGGAGGGAGCGGTGGATCTGAGTGCTGTGTATCTGTGCGGGACTGTGTGTGGCTCATTGTGTGTGTCCGTGTGAGTTTGTGTGGGTCTGTGTGTGGTAGTGTAGCGGTTCGCGCGCTGCGCTATGAACCCGGCGACCCGAGTTTGATTCCGGCGCACGGCCGACACCAGTGACGATTATCTGAACCGGTCCTGGGCCTTCCCTAGGTCGACTCAGCCGCAAAAGAGTACCTGGTGCGATGTGTTAACATCGCCACTAGGGAGACAAAGGCGGCCGGGCGTTGTGTTGGCCACCCACCCCCTCGCGTGCCGTGCCGGCCTCGTAGGTGCTCGCTAACAGCACTTGCCCCTACAGTCTGTTACAGGCTATACGGGGGATCTTTGTCTTTGTCCGTGTGAGTTTGTATGGGTCTGTGTGTGTCTCATTGTGTGTATGTGCGGATCTGCGAGTATGTGTGTGCGGGTCTGCATGTGTGTATTTGTGTGTTTGTGGACAGTCCTCTCTCTACTCGGGCAGGAGACTGCCAAATAATAGGGAGTGGCTCTTCTTTTGAACAAAATAATGTGAGGTGTGGGAAACTGTGGACTCGTCTTCCCACCAACCAGCGTCGAGGAGTGGTGGTTGTGGTGGTTACTTTTGCCCCCACTGAAGATGAACATCAGCGGAGGGATGCAGGCAACGCCAGTGAGTCAGATGCCTTTTATGACCTGTCACAGCTGCTAGCTGAAGTGGCCCCTCAGAATAGTCATCCTCTTGGGTGACTTTAAGGCCCGAGTGGGTCATGATGCTGGCACCTGGTCTGGAGTTATTAGAAGACATGGGCCAGATCAGCTCAATAACAACGATAGGATACTGCTAGACTTTTGTGCAGCCCATGGAGCGGGGTACAGTGATTTCCTGGCGGCCCTTTGCTGCGTTGGCATTGCTGCTGCATTGGCATTGCTGCTGCATTGGCACTGCTGCCCCGCCCATGCTGCTGGTGCTGCTGATACACTTGGGCTACGCCAATCTCCTATCCTTCATAAACAGTTTGCCTTTAGAGGCTAACCCCTTTTCCTGATGACGACCGCTTGTGTTGTGATCGAAACGTCATGGTATTTTTATTCACTTTATTTTCATTATTTTTCTATCTATGTAACTTTACCGAAAAAAAATAAAGAATATGAATTCCTGCAGTCACGAAAGTTTTAAGTCAAAATTTACCAACACACTGTTCCAGCATCGGCACATCCACACAACATCATGGATGCATGCCGGGTCCAAGGAAGAACATCTGCTCGACTATATAGTGGCGGAACAGCAGATGCGGGCCCATATTCTTTAAACCAGGACCTACCATGCAGTTGATCTGCCCACTAGCCATCGGCTTGTCATCTGTAAGATGCACCTGCTATTCTTCCACTCCAGTGGTGGGTGTACATCCAGGACTACATTCAAACACACAGTGGCTTGGTCTCAGCTAGCTGATTAAAGTTGCAAGCGAGAATTTCATCATCGCTTGCAGCTGGGGTTGGCATCGTACCCCTCTCCTGTTGCCGAGGGCGAGGTTTAGGACTATGGCTCATGCAGCTGCAATGGCTGCTTTGGGTACACGGTCCAAACCTCCCCAGAGACCCTGGCTGACAGAGGAGGTGTTTCGGCTGGCTGAGAAAAAGCAACAGGCCCACTCCCACCATCTACAGCTACCGTAGCTTTCGCTAGGAGGTTCGGAGAGCAGTTCGGTGCTGCAAGGATGGGTGGCGGTCACGGATTGCTGAGGAGATGGAGTCTGCCTCAGTAGCTCGGGATCACAAATAACTCTTTAACTCCATCAAAAAAGTTACTTGCAGTGCCACACCCATCACTATCATTAGGAGAAATAAAGGTGATCCTGGTGGTCCCCCTCTTTAAGAAAGGGCACCGCACAGACTGTAATAGGGGCATCTCCCTTCTCAGTGTGCCGGGAAAGGTCCTGGCAAGGATTATTCAACATCGCCTGGTCAGGCACGCAGAGGAGTGGCTTGCAGAGCCCCAATGTGGTTTTAGGCCAGGGCAGTCATGCACACTTGTGACTGCTCACAATCATGAAGGACCTTCACAATGGTGGGCAGGCGCAAGTAAAACTATGTGGCCTGGAGTCGGAGCCATTCCTTTTTCACCTTGGGGTGCAACAGGAATATCCTCTGGCTCCCATATTATTTTACATCTATTTCGACATGTAGTTTGTGAAGCCTTCCATGGCTGTACTGGAGGAATTTAAATTTGGTACAGATACAATGGGAGGCTGATCAATGCCCGGGTGAGGTTAAGGGATGGCTCCCTTTTGGTCAACCATGTTACATATGCTGATGATCTGGTGATTGCTGCTCACTCAGAGGAGTTGGAGGCGCTGCTGCTGAACCTGGAGCGTGCCACTAAGAGGTGGGGCCTTACCATCAGCCCCACCAAAACTAAGCATCTGCCTGGGTATTTTGTGCCACTCCCACATATCCCAATTGGTGATGGGGCAATTGTGGAAAGTGGAGATTTTTCCATACCTGAACAGTGTGCTCATTACCGGCTCTAGTTTGTCAACAGAGGTCTCACTCTGAATCAGTCGAGCAGCATCTTTTCATCGGCTGTGCAATGCTGTGTGGAAACTACCTGGTCTGTCGCTCCACACGAAGCTTCCTGTCTTCTCAGCCATGATCATGATCTCCCTTCGCTATGCTGGTCTGCCTACGATCCAGCTTTTGTTCGGCCGGATAGAGGGGGCTAAACGAGCACGGGCACAGACTGGAGAAGAGATGGAACTGATGTGGTACCAGAGGATATGAAGCTGAGTAGACTTGCCAATGACGATTTGGAGGCAGTCAGCTTCCAACAACAACGGAGGGCAGAGGAGCGACGCTCACAAAAATGAGCAGAGTGCCAGGTGGATAAAATACAGCAAGTTGGCACAGTGGGGAGTACAGGTGGTGCATGTGCCAGTCATCTCAGTCAGTAAACTCATGGCACCTGCAGGGTCTATCCTGTGACCTCCTGCCAGCAAGCCTTCCATGCTTCATGCGGCCTCAAAGGGCACCTAGCCTGGTACAAGCGCCGTGGTGACGTCACCGCCACTTCGTACCAAGCGGCGGTTGTTGTTATCTGTGCGTCCCCATGTGTCTGTGTGTCTGCGTGTTTGGTCTCACCTTCCCTGTGTCCTCTGGCCCAGGCTGAAGCGTAACGGAGCACGGCAGGTCTTGGGGGATCTAACACGCGTGTACACACATACACATAAGCACATGTATGTACGTTGAACGTCTTTTGCACCGTATGCAGCCAACCCTACTAATCGGAGGAGCAGGGGAAGGACAACAAACTAGTCTTAAAGAAATTAGTTTGTCAATCTAGATGATTTAAAATTACATAGCTCCAGTGGCTTCTGAATAAATCATAAGAGCGTTCTAGACGGCCATAGAAGCATATCTGAAAGTGCGTGATGCGGTGCCCGTCTTTGTTCAATGACCAGCCAAAAGCCGCAGCGAGGATGGCTGGAGTTCACGTGACAGTTTGTTCCTCGACGAGATCATCAAGGTATTGTGGTTAATTTGCAGCAAGCACTTTGTGTATGTATGTTGAACGCATTTCGCACCGTGCGTAGCCAACCGTGCTAATCAGACGACAACAATCACGGAGGTGGTAAATTAGCGTCACGCTGTTCCCGTGGTAACGGCGCCGGCCAAGTTGCCGCGACGGTGCCGGCAACTCACGTGGAAGACGAAGGGGTGAGCGTTCTCTCCCAGCTTGCGGAGGAGACGCTCCTGCAGACGTGTTGGTGGGGAGCCCCCGTTCTCGCCACCATCTCGGGGGAACACCTGTGGGAAGGGGGGGGGGGTAGGGGAGCAGACGCAGCGGCGCCCTCACGGTCGCGCCGAGTTGATCCCCGCGACGACATTTGTGTGCTGGCGTCGCAGTCCAAGTTTGACAAAAATCAGAATTCGGATCGCTCGCGTGGAATGAGACACGCGGCCCCCCGGCATACCCCCTACTTCAACGAGGTGGGGGGGGGGGGGGCTGTGCAATATCCGTCGGTAGGCCCCCCCTCTTCCGACTCGCTTTAACTGAAACAGTTAAGGATGTTTTTAATCGGGCTTGGTCCACAGTAGACCGCACGTAATTTTTTTTCTGAATGAAATTTTTTTTACGTAATTATACTTGTTTATCTATTGATTCGGGACCCCCTTGTGGCCGACTGGGCCCCTACGCGTCACAAACACCCCCAACCATAGTACTACAGTGCCCCTGGGAAGGCGGCATGCACGCACGGTGCCATTACCTGCGCGGTGCGTGTGAAGAGCTCCTTCCTGAAGGAGAGACCCAGGACGTCCAAATCCTCACGGCCATAGCGGAACACGCACGCCAGCGCCACGAACACTGGGGGGGGGGGGGGGCGGACAAGAAGCGGGGACACGTAGCGGGGAAACACGGGCGGGTGTGTTGCAGCATTGTGCAACGCATAGGTCTAACACCGTTTGAGACGAGGCTCAAAAGAAAGCTGTGTGGTGTGGACCAATCAGTTTCAAAGACTGCATATATTATCAGAGTATGTTTTTTGTTTGCATTCTGACCACAAGTATTGTGATTAATGCAGACATGATTCCTTGTAAAAGGTTTCAGATTGGTGTTTTAACATCTTAACACCTGTTTTGTCACCAGAAAAAAGGGGAAAACCTATTCTCAAGTACAAACATCTTTAAAAAAGATATTAAAACAAAAAATATTCTAACAATTAACCATGAATGCCAAAAAAGCATGTTACAAAAGAAAGAAACAATATTTCCGAAAAAATGCACAGCGTAAAATCTAGTAGGGCTACTGCTGGTGTTTGTTATCTGAGCACTACCAGGCTGCTTTGATAACTTTCATGCGCATGAAAGCAAGACGCACGATAACTTAATTGTGAGTGTTGTACCTTTACATCCTTTCACTGCTGAAAACTGTCTTCCTCTAAACCCAATACACGGCACAACTAAAGTCATATATGGTAGTTATAGCCTACATATTACTGTTATACGGTGTGAAAAGTAATAATAAATTATCTGTGGTCTACTATGGACCAAGCCCGATTAAAAACATCCGTAGCTATTTCAGTAAGAGTGAGTCGGGAGATAGGAGGGGGTTGGGGCACAGTCGGATCTTGCACAGCTCCCCCCACCCCCGTTGAAATAGGTCGTTGGGGCCCTGGGGACACGCGAGGGAGCACGGAAGGACACGGGGTGAGCATAGGAGGACACGAAGGGACATGGGGGGAGCTTGGGGTGAGCACGGGGGGGGGACACGGCAAGATCGGGGAATGGGGGGGGACAAGAGAAGGAGACGGCGATAGAGGTGAAGGGAGCAACGTAATGAGTGTTACGGTCGGAGCAGAATGGTGGTGGGTCGCGCTGTGGGGGCAGGTGTGGGCTGGGTGGGGGTGTGGGCTGGGTGGGGGTGTGGGTTGGGGGGTTGCGAGGGAAACGATGTGAAACACCTTTTCTCTCCTTAAGGTAATCGGGCTCCACCAGAACGACGCCGTCTGTGCACACACAACACACACAGGTGACAGGTGAGGTGGTGAGACAGGTAAAAGGTTAGGCAAGGGACAGGCAGATATGGGCAGTGTCTTAAGTAATCTGTATCTGCAATGTGTGATGTCATTACATGAGTAATGGGTGATTTGTATCTCGATTACACGAGAAACAGGTAATCAGTAACCCATATCAACGTAACATTCTTCTGCTTATTTGTAAATTATTTATATTTTTCCCATCACTGTGACAGACAGGTGATATCGGACCGGTAGAATAGCATCTGGGATGGCAGACCCTGCCACTCCATAAGAGGCTGTTTTGGGGTTGGATCGCGTAAATATAAATGTGTCGTTAAACCTGCCACGACCCGACGCAGCCAATTAGTAAGGTTTGTCACGTAAACAAAACGTGATGATTAGTTACGAGTTACTACATTATAGTTTCAAAGTGCATCGCTCCGGTGGCTTCCTAATATGGGAAGGAAGCGCGTTCCAGATTGCCAGCCAAAATCCGCTGCTACGAGGACAACATTCGTGATCTAGAATTAACCTTCAAAATATCACTGGTAGCAATTGCTATCTTGTGTGGTACTAATGTCATTGCTGAACTAATGGCTCAAGGGCCGTGGAACAAAAGCCGGTAGGTGTGTACAGGTGAGAGTAGCCGGCTCTGCTGTACAGGTGAGGTAACGGTGTAGGTCAGGAGGTGAAGTAGTGCGTGTCCCATCCGGCACTCACCCACAGGGTCCACGTGATCCAGGTGATCCACAAAGTCCCTTTTGCCCAGGTAAACCGTGAGCTGTACACAGGTGACACAAACAAAGGTACCCCGTGTACTATACACAGGCTGTTGGACCCAGTGCTGTTTATCGAGTGCCTATAAAGGCTGGTACTGTGAACGAGGAGTGCTATAGCACCACGCCTGCCCGGCCACCTTTGTCTTCTCAGTGCTATTATTGCCACACCAGCTACTCGTACAATTTAACCTGTCATTTGGCTCAATTCCCATTTCAACCTCAATCTCGAATTTCAAGAACAAAGACTCCGACAATGAAGATGGGGACTGTGTAGAGAAATCAATCCAGTTCCTTATCATCTACAGCCTACACAGAGACATTGGATGGCTGCTTGCCTCTGTGTCTCTCCTCAGACCACGCTGGCAGCAAACACAATCAACCTCGACAACCACTTTCGATTTTGCTGAATCCTGATCTCTCATTCCACCTTGCGCTTCATCTTGCAAGCTACCTCTTTCATTACTGTGACCTTTACCCCAAGACCGGTCAACGCCTCCTCTCGCAAAACCTGGAGGGAGATTCATTGGGCCGAGTTCATCGCTAAACCACACAATTATTATTTGGTCCCCTTATCGATCCAATGTGTTTATTTGTCAGGACCCAAACTCCCGATATCTCCGACGCCCCTACAGCATTGTACCGAGGACACAAAACCTCACGCGGTTCTCGCTCGGGGTTCCGTGAAAGCCCCAAACACCTTAAATCCCTATTCTTTGGGTCTTCTGGTAAAGTCACGTCCTGATGACGACCGCTTGTGTTGCGATTGAAACGTCGCAGTTTTGAAAAAAAATATTTTAACCTATCTACGTGACTTTACCAAAAGACCAAAAGAATATGAATTCCTGCAGTCACGAAAGATTGAATTCAACCTTTAATCTCATTGCTTCACAAACGTCTCTAGTTCCTCTCCCATCTCAATTGCAACTTCAACTATTTAAACTATAACACTTTTTATTTTACCAGGTAAGGGCCCATTGAGCTATGTAGCTGTTTTTCAGAAGCGATCTGGCTACAAATGATAGCTCAACGAAGTGGCTTACCATGTGGGCATTTCTAGCAGCCACTCTAAATCAGTGGTTCTTCTTAACCTGGGGTGCACGCATCCCTTGAGGGTGCAAGATGTCCTTTCTCGGGGGTGTGAGACATGGCCAGATTTTTTTAGAAGGCAAACAATAAAAAAAACACAAAATAGCCACGGGACCGTAAGTAACACTACTTTGTTTAATCAAACCTATGTATTTATTAACATTATATATGTTTTTTCGGTTGAGAACCAAAGGGGTGCAAGGCTGCAGTAAAGGTTAAGAACCACTGCTCTAAATGCATGTTTCTAAACGTGGAGGGAAAAGCCAGAGGACCCAGAGAAAAAATCCACGCAACCATGGGGGGAACATGGAAACTGCAAATATACAGGCATCAGGGTCGGGATCGACCCCACGACCCCCTGCATACCAGGCGAGGTAATTAACATCTTGCAACCGTGGCACCTCATCTCTTATTAGCATGCTCCAGGTTCAGCAGCAGCACCTCCAACTCCTCAGAGTAGGCATCAATTACCAGATCATCAGCATACATAATGTGGTTGACCAATCGGGTGCCATACCTTTGCAGTGTCTTCAAAAATTACTCACACCGACACGTTGTAACAAGTCACCTGCTTACACTTTATCCACCTGTTCTTGCGCCAGTTATAGGCACTCCTATAACTATCTGTATGGTCACATCTACTTAACTTCTCCCTGCTCTGATCTATTCTGCACCTCACTTATCCTGTACTCAGCAGTTCTGCTCTCAGCGACTCCGCACACAGCGTCTTCGCACTCAGCGACTCCACACACAGCAGCTTCGCACCCAGCAACTCCGCACACAGCAACTTCACATCTCCATCGCTGCCCTCACCTACGCTCCCTCAGATCCGCTCACCCGTCTGTCCCGGGCGGGGGGTTCAGCCAACACTCGCCCGGCGACGGCATGGGGGTTGAGGTCCCGTTGATGGCTGGAGCGGCAGCAGCGATATGTCTTCACTCTTGGTTCCCGGCAACAACTCTCGCTCACACACACTCCTACTTATATCCCCCTGCTCATCCCGAGTCCTCACGTGCTTCCACTTAAGCTGCCGCCAGGCCAGCGCCAGTTGTCCCATTAATCTCTTATCATCACCCTCCATCTCCCGTCTCCTAGGCGCCAACTTCCAGTCATAGCTTAGCACCTGTTCGACCTTGGTTGCTCCCGCTTCTCCCCTTAATTACTGGCGGTTTGTCTATGCAAACCTCATGGTTCAACATGCACACCTGTTTGCCCTCAGTTGCACCCGCTTTTCTGCTTAACTACTGTCAGTTTGTTGTTGCAAACCTCATGTTGCAATGCGCACCCCTGTTTGCCCTCTGTTGCGCCCGCTTAACTGTGCGCACCATGTATTTCTCTTCGCTACACCTTGACTGCACCCAGGCATCGATGAGCCTCCTATTGCATCTATACCATATAGAAATTCCACCAGTACATCCATGAAAAGCTTCTGGAACTATACGGTCAAAGACGATGTTAAATAGTGTTGGACCAGAGGAAATCCCTGTTGCACCCCAAGGTGAACAGAAAATGTCTCTGACACCCAGCCATGCAAATTTACCCTGCCCTGCCCACCATCATGAAGGGTCTTTAAGATTGTGAGCAGACAGTCTGGAACTCCAAAAGCACGAAGAACAACCCAAAGCTTATTGATGGCTTATTGATGGAATCATAGGCTTTAACCATGTTAATGAAGAAGAGATGTAGGTCCTGTTGACATTTCCTACACCTCTGCTCTAGCAGAGAGAGATAATGGCATCTGTGTAGGATTGGCCTGATTAGAAACCACATTGGAGCTCTGCAAGCTTCTCCTCAGCATGTCTGACAAGGCGACGTTGAATAATTTTTGCCAGATCCTTTCCCGCCACACTGAAGAGGGAGATACCCCTGTAATTGTTGCAATCAGGGCATCTTTCTAATCCTGCGGAACCCTTCCAATGGATCAGACAGTTGTGATCATGTCAGGTAGGTCAGTCTGCACACAGATGCCACCCTCCCTCAGCAGTTCGCTTGGGAGATCATCTCTCCCCGAGACTTTACCAGGTCTCAAGCTCAAGGTCACCCTTCACACTTCCTCAACCGTTGGCACCTCAACCAACCACTCACAAAGGGGCAGCTACTTCCTCCAAAATTTGAGTTTCAGCAGCACCAGCAGGGTCAGCTCCACCTTGCCCTAGGATTATTGCATGAGTTGAGGGGTTTCCCCTCCCCCAAGACCTCACAGAAATGCTCAGCAAACCTGCAGACCTGTTCTTGCGCTACAAAAACAAAGACCTACCGAAAATCCTTTTCAGGCTGTTGGGGCAAGTGCTGTTAGCAAGCACCTGTGAAGATCGGCAAGTCACACGAGGGGGTGGGTTGCCAGCACCATGCCCAGCCGCCTTTGTCTCCCTTAGTGTCGATGTTTACACACCACACCAGGTACTCATTTGAGGCTGAGTCGACCTAGGAGAGGCCCAGGACCAGTCCAGATAATCGTCACCGGTGTTGTTGGCCGTGAGTGGGGAAATCGAACTCAGGTCGCCGGGTTCGTAGCACAGAGCACTGACCACTGCACTACCGCATAGGTGCGCGCACACATGCGCGGGTGTCAAGGCGTGTAAATCTGGTCGCTTTGGCGACTAATGTCTCTCGGCGAACTTTGACCCGAGTGGCTTGGCAGGGGAGGGGAGCATAAGGAGGGGAGGGAATGGGGGGGGGGTTTCGTAACCCGTGCTGCGTGAGGAGGAACTTTGCTCTTCCTTCCCTATTCCCCCCTCCCCTTTCACCACGCACCTTCCCGTTAGGGCTGTTCTTCTTAAAGACTCTGGGGGGGGGGGGGGGGGAGGACAAAGGGGGGAGGGGGGACAGATACAAAGGTTACGAAATCCACACTGAATACAGTGGAACACAAGAGCCTAAGTCTGGCTCCTGTCTGTGTAAACCCCGTGTCTTCATCTGTCTCTGAGCTCTATGACCCTTAGTCTGCCTCTATGACACTTAGTATGGCTCTATAAGTCTTAGCCTGGTTCTATGAGTCTTGTGAGCCTTAGTCTGGCTCTATGAGCTCCGTGAGCCTTGGTCTGACTCTGTGAGCCTTAGTCTGCTTGATGAGTCCCGTGAGCCTTTGTCTATGTGAGTCTTATTCTCGCTTTATTAGCCTGAGTCTGGCTCTATGGGCCCCATACCTTGTCCTTGTCTTCTCCTCCATCACGTGACAACACCTGCAGACACGCAGATTGCGTCACCAATTAGTGTAATGAACGATCGCTGGATGAGTACGTGGGAGGAGTTACCCTCATAGTGATGATGATTACTGCTGATGGTGATGTTGATGCTAGTGGCTCTGATGGTGTACGGCCCACCGAGCTCTGTAGCTCTTTTTTAGAAGCGACCTGGCCACAAATGACAGCTCAACGAAGTTGGCGGCTTATGACGTGGACATCTATAGCAGTAGCCAAATACTCTTAATCGCCTGTTTCTAAATGTGGAGGGGAAAACCGGAAGATCCGAATAAAAATCCACGCGACCGTAGGAAGAGAGTCGAAAACTCCAAATAGACAGCAGCAGGCGTCAGGGTCGGGATAGAACCTACGACCTCCTGCACACCAGGCGAGAGAGTTAACATCTCCTAACCACCCCGGCGCCCTATTGCTGCAGCTGCTGATCGTTTATTTAAACCGACGTCAAGTGCACACACACAGACGCCGCTCCCCAAATACCTAGGTTTATGTCTATTGACGCAAACACACATCCTGTACACTTACAAAGACACGTGGGAGCCTACACAGACTGCCGGGGGCAAGTGCTGTTAGCGAGCAGCACCGATGAAGGCCGGCACGGCGCTCACGAGGCGGTGGGCGGCCAGCAGCACGCCCGGCTGCCTTTGTCTCCCTAGCGTCCATCTTACTAACCCCCTGCTGACACGTAGTGCTGCGATAGGGATACTACAGAGAGCAGCGGACCACCTTGTGCTGAGAAGAGCAAGAGATGGCAACTTCTGAAGGCATCTTACCAACTCCAGCGGCTCAACTCTGATAATGCCTTACAAGGAGGGATCCATTAATAACCTCGTCCAACTCCTACCCCGAACCCCTCCCCCTGAATTCCTAATCTTGAATCCCTCAACCCTTCACGGTTCGAAACCAGCGGCCGCCCTGGTTATTGCTGCGGGTGGTATAACCATAGCACAGTCCAGTACATTACTCAATAGGGATAACAGAGCAGCAGCAGCAGGACTCATCGCCCCCTACTGGCGGACTCACGCCGCAGGAGGTCGCTCTTGCAGATAAAGACTCATCCTGGTGGTCTCTGAGAGTTATCGTCTTGAAACTCGAGTACCATTCAAACCATGATCCGCATTCATACCCCGAATGCCTTTCAACTCCTGAACCCCATTCATACCGTGGACGCCATTCAAACCCTGAACCCAATCACTGAACCCCATTCAATTCCCAAACCCCATTCAAACCCGGAGTCCCGTTCAAAGCGTGATTGCCATTCAAACCCTGAGCCACGTTTAATCACTGGAGCACATTCTACACTTAACCTTAACCCCCCCTCTCCCCTCTCCTCGCCCTGTTATCTGCTCACCTCGTCCGCGGCCTCGCTTTACTCTCTCACGCAGAGTCGAAGTGGCGGGGCAGGCACGGCGGGGAGCTGTGGAGTAGAGAGACGCGAGAGGGAGAGACGAGAGAGACGAGGGAGAGAGGGAGACGGGAGGGAGAGACGAGAGGGAGGAGAGTCGCAGAGTACACGGAAGTTTCTGCTGTGGTGCGCGTCAGCGTGTGTGTCAGCACCAGTGTCATTTAGGCAGTGTATCTGTGTGTGTGTTCGTCAGCTAGGCAGTGTGTGTGTCAGCACCAGTGTCATTTAGGCAGTGTATCTGTGTGTGTTCGTCAGTGTCAGTACCAGTGAGTGTCAGCTAGGCAGTGTGTGTCAGCACCAGTGTCATTTAGGCAGTGTATCTGTGCGTGTTCGTCAATCGTCAGTGTCAGTACCAGTGAGAGTGTCAGCTAGGCAGTGTGTGTGTCTGTGTGTGTGTCTGGGCAAGGTCCCATCGGTGAGCTCCTCCGGCAGGCAAGTCTGCGTTGGCTGGGTCATGTAGCCCGCATGCCCAGCCACCGCATGCCGAAACAGCTTTTGTTCGGCCGGATCGAGGGGGCTAAACGGGCGCAGCACAGGCTAGAGAAGAGATGGAGTGATGTGGTACAGGAGGACGTGGACCTGAGTGGACTTGCCGATGACTGGTACCAGCAGTGTCAAGATTGGCCTCTGTGGAGGAGGCTCGTGAAGGACGCTACTGGGCAGTTGGAGGCAGTCGACCTCCAACAACAACGGAGGGGCGGAGGAGCGACGCTCACAACAACGAGCGGAGCGCCGGGTGGCTAAAGCACAGCAGGTTGGCACAGTAGGGGGCACAGGTGGTGCATCAGCCAGTCATCTCAGTCGACCCGTGGCACCTGGGTCTGCCTCGTGACCTGCCAGCGGGCGTTCGACACTTCACGTGGCCTCAAGGTGCACATGGCCTGGCACAAGTGTCGTGGTGACGTCACTGCCACTTAGTGGCGAATGGTGGTTGTTGTTGTTGTTTGTGTGTCTGTGTGTGTCTGTGTCTGCGTGTCTGTGTGGCGTTGGTGCTGGCCACCCACCCCCTCGTGTGTCGTGCCGGCATTCAAAGGTGATCGCTAACAGCAATTGACCCAACAGTCTGTCAAGGCTACACGGTCGCCTTTATCTTTGTCAGTGCCAATGCACGTGTCCGTTTGTGCATGTGGGGACCGGGGTTCGACTCCCGGCCACGACTTACCAGTCCTGGACTTCCGCTCGGTCGTCTCAGCCTTAAATGAATACCTGTTGAGGTGTAAGAGTCACCACTGGAGACACAAAGGCGAATGTGTCTGAGTGTCAGTGTATCTGTGCCAGTGTGTGAATATGCCGGCATATATATGGCAGTGTTGTCTGTGCCAGCGTGTGCCACTGTGAATGTGCCAACGTGCGAGTGTGTCGACACGCCACAGCGAGTGTCTACGTGTGCGGATCTAAAAATTGTTAATATTTTTTTTACTTTACCAGGCAAGGCCCACTGAACTATTTAGCTCTTTTTCAGAAGCGATCTAGCCACACACGATAGCTCAACGAAGTGGCTTATCACGTGGAAATGTATAGCAGCCAAATCCTCTAAACGCGTGACGTTGATTCCAAAACATGAAGAAAAAAACGGAGATCCCTGATAAAAATCCACACGACCACGGGGAGCGAGAGAGACACACAAACTCAAAATATACAGCAGCAGGCGTCAAGGGTCGGGATCGAACCCACAACCTCCTGTCTACCAAGAAAGGTTCGTTAACATCTCGCCACCTATGCCAGCGTGCGTAAGTGAGCGTGTGCCAATGTCAGCGTGTGGGTGCGTGAGTTGTCAGCGTGGGACACACAAGGAACCAGCCACAGCTGTACACAACGCAGCTGGCGCCTCGCGATCCTTACCCCCCGTGATTATGAAAGAAGCGGAGCCGATGGGGAAATGACCGGAAGGGAGCGGGGGGGGGTTACCACCACGAACACCACACGCGGCGCGTGCCCACAGTGCGATTGGGGTTGGACAAACAACTCGGATTCACAATGCAAGTTTGGGTGAAGCCGCGTAATCATCTCACCAAATTCGTGTCATCGAGGCCCTCCACCACCCGACATAGCAACATTAAATTGGGTACTGCACGTGTACAAGTGATAGCGTAGCAGTTAGCGCGCTGCGCTACGAAATCATCGACCCAAGTCCGATTCCTCCTCAAAGGCCAACACCAGTGACGACCGGCCCTGGAACTCCCCTAGGTCAACTCAGCCTCAAATGAGCACTTGGTGCAGTGTGTAAACATCGCCACTAGGGAGACAAAGGCGGCCGGGCGTGGTTCTGGCCAATCACCCCCTCGTGTGCCGTACCGGCCTTCATAGGTGCTCGCTAACAGCACTTGCCCCAACAGTCTGTTAAAGCTATACGAGAGATCTTTGTGTTGTCAATTATGATCGTTTCAACTCATGTACGATTGAAGAACATCTCACAAACGAATGTGGCATCCACCGCACCTCCGATTAGCACGGTTGGCTACGTACGTGGTGCGAAATAAGTTGAACATACATACACTTCACCTAACTAAACTAAATCTAGACTTTTTATTTTATTTTACCAGATGAAGCCCACTGATCTATCCAACTCTTTTTTCAGAAGTGACCTCGACAAGGTGGCTTACCACGTGCACATTTATAGCAGCCAAATACTCTAAACGCGCGTTTCTAAATGTGCAGGGAAAAACTGGACAAGGAGAAAAATCCACGTGACCACGGGGAGACGCGCAAATTCCAAATACACTGCAGCAGGCGTCAGCATCGGGATGGAACCCACGTCCTCCTGCATACCAGGCGAGGGAGTTAACATCTCCGAACCACCGTGGTGCCTGCCGCTCGCTACGTCGGAGGAAACCAAGAAACAGCGCGCCTCTTGACGAGGACATTCACGCATATGTTTTGCCCCGAACCGTAGAAAGGATCATCCCACAGCTCACCCAGTAGCTGCTACGTGTACTCGGTGGCCCCACTGGTGCGCTTCTCATGCTGGAGTGTTCACAGCGGACGCAAGGGGCGATGGCAAGCGAGGGTCACGGGAAGTGACCGGTGGTGGCTTGTGCACGTGGCATCTAATCCAGCACCGTGGAGGCAAGGGGGTTTTGGTGGATCACCGCACAAACATGAAGTTCGCTTTTCTTCGTGGGGGGCGTCGAGATGCCGTCACCTCATGGCTCGCCATCTGCTTCCATCTGTATGGGGGGTGGGGTAGTGTTTCACCCCCTCCGGGTGCTCCAATTTCCTCTGACTTGTATAATAAACTCATCATTGATTCGCTGAGAACATCTCCAAATGAAAACCCAATGCAGCAGGATCCTCCTACGACTAAGCGTTGTTTTCCTGCATAAATCGGTTAAACGTTAAATATATTGGTGTGCGACCCGATCATCTGAACCGGTTCTGGGCATCCCCAAGGTCTACTCAGCCTCATATGACCACCTGGTGTGGGCAGGCATTGTGCGCCATAACAGCCTTAATAGGTGCTCAATAACAGCGCTTGCCCCAACAGCCTGTTGAGGCTGTACAGGGAACTTTTGTCTTTGTATTCGTGTTCCAATTCCTTGGGAGGGGATGCGGTATTTCAGCGGTTAGATTCATGGCTAACATCAGTGGTGAGTAGCTACGGAACCTGTAATTGCTCCTCCCCAACCCATATTCACTTAAGTTGAATCCCACGCCCGCATGCGCAGGCCGTGAGGTCGCTGTACATTTGGCTGGACTACTGTGGCCTTGCCTAAAACATCAATTGTGAACGTAATTGACTAGGGTTGTGAGGTATGGTCAAACAATCCCCGCGGGTAAACCGGAACGAGGCGCCCTTCACCAAACACCAGCGTGACAATCGGTGTACATGTGTCGTGACATAGCTATGTAGCAGCATAGCGCTAGCTGCTGGCAGGGAAGGGGATCTGCAGCTTACAGCAGCCTTGACGGCAACAGGCCACGTGATACACCAGAGGGGGATCTAGGGGAAAGGTCACGGAAGGGACAAACCAGGAACCCGAGGGTAGGTTCTAGAAAGGGGGCGTGGCCGGGGGCGGAGCCAGGCCACGCTGACAGTATAAGAGGAGCCCCAAGAGGGGACCTTGGGGCTGTCGTTTGGAGTGGGATCCCCATCGTGCTTGCTGGAGTCTTCACCGTTCCTCTCGTCGTCTCCGTCTTCACCATCTCAGGGTCGCCAGTCAGGCAGTCTACCAGCTGTCCTGACTGGGAACCGTAGTCGACTGTAGACGGATTATTTGGAAGTGTTACCCGTTGGTGCGTGTTAATAAACAGAGTGCCTCCAACTCTTAGTGTCTCCGATTCAGTCATGTGACGTGTATTTTGACATTCTTATAGCGAAGCCTCCTCGAGTCTCAAAACTTTTTCACGAGGGTCCTGCTAGAATGGGATATCTGGCCGTATGTATGTTGAACTTCCTTCGCACCGTGCTAATCGGAGGTGCGGGGGAAGGACAACAAACTTAACAAAAAAACTTGATTTGAAGCTTTCGTGACTGCAGGAATTCCTCTTTGGTTCTTTCAGGAAAGTCACGTATAAAGAAAACAAATTAAGTAATAGAATACGACGTTTCGATTGCAACACAAGGAATCGTCATCAGGTAGAACTACATTTGAGAGACAAAACAGATACGGAGACACACAGACACACAAGCAGAGAGAGAGAACACAGACACACAACATAGACACACAGAGGCCCAATGCCTCTGTGTCGTGGCCTTAAATAGAGGGGGGTGCGGCAGAGAGGTGGGTCTGCTGGAGCAGATAAATTAGCATGTCAATGAGAGAGCATGATTTGAAGCTTTTGTAACTGCAGGAATCCATACTCTTTGGTTCTTTCGGTAAAGTCACGTCTTTGTTTCAATCGAAACATCGTGATGTTTTATTTTTTACGTGTCTTTACCGAAAGAACCAAAGAGTAATGAGAGAGCTGTGTGGAAATCCACCTCGCGGCGGCAGGGGGAGAAAGGACCAGCAATTCTGGTATAAAAAAAAATATTTCTCTCCCTCTGCCACCACGGGGTGGATTTCCACACAACTCTCTCAAAACTTTACCAGACTTGCCTGGGTCTTTCTCTCCCCCTGCCGCTGCGGGGTGGATTTCCACACAGCTCTCTCATTGACATGCTAATTTCTCTGCTCCAGCAGACCCACCTCTGTCTGCCCCCCCCTCTCTCTCTATTTAAGGCCACGACACAGAGGCATTGGGTCTCTGTGTGTATGTTGTGTCTCTCTGTCTCTGTGTTATCTCTCTCTGCTTGTGTGTGTCTGTGTTTCCGTGTCTGTGTTTTCTCTCTCTCAAATTTAGTTCTACCTGATGACGATTGCTTGTGTTGCAATCGAAACGTCGTATTCTATTATTTAATTTATTTTCTTTCTACGTGACTTTACCGAAAGAACCAAAGAGTAAACACAAAAAGCAATTCTAAAGAGTTTTCAATTGAGACTGGCAAACAACACTAACGAGAGGATGGCGTCGTGTGGGTGCAAACCGGAGAAGCCCCACCACGCGTAGGAGGGGGTGACACCAAAGGTCCACACAGACGGATTCAAAAATCCATTGCTGTGCCTCCATCTCTTGGCAACCTCCCAGCCAGCCCCAAACCCTCCTGAACCCATCTCCAATTCAAGTGCCAACCAGGCTCAACTCTGCTGTCAATTCAACCGCGCTTCTCTCTCTCCGGAGTAAAATAACTGTGCACGCTACAAATTGTAAATTATTATTGGTTTGTCTAGCTCTGATAATTCACGCAAAACATTGGTTTAACAGCCATTCCTCAGGTGTTTCCTTGTCTTACACAGGGTGATGCACTGCTTTCTGCGAGAATTTCTAATGGACATATCTTCAGCCCCGTGGCACGGCGCCAACAGCACAGAATATAACTGGTAGGAAAAAAACTCAAAAAAAGACCGATGTACAAAAATAAACCAGACGTGTTCCTGGTCTGTTTATTCGTGTGCACCTGCACAACACCTGCACACACCTGCATGGCGACTGAGAGTGTAATATTGGCGGCGCTGCCTGAAGAGGACGTAAACCTTGGAAGCGTAGGTTCAATACCCAGCCGCCGATCCCCATGCTCCCCTCCAGCGACACAAGAAATATTTACCCAACTCTTGTTTGGGGTTGACTATAATCCCCAACATTATCGATATCTATCATCCCCGAAGCTGAATTTTAGCCGGGTCTGTGTGCGTAGGCGACCTGGTAAAAAATGTGCACTCCCGACACGCCACGTCCAATAACTAACTCCTATGGCTGTGGCGACTGTAGTTACGTGCCAACTTACTCCAGGCTTCCAGTGACCCGAAAAATATTCAGTGAGAAATTAAACCACCACCACCACCATCATCGTCATCACAATCATTCGAACATGGTTGATAAAGTGTATTCCACTTTGTGGGAAGTCAGCCAGTTATCTCACGCCGGCTCGAGCCTACCACAGGAATGTGTAATTTCCGCCATTAGCTCAGGGCCACCCAATAGAGATGAATGTTTGCCCCCAATGTTCGTCAGAGCAGGAAG